GTATATATATATATACTATATATATAGATATAGTGCCTTGAGCAAGGCACTATATCTGCATTGCTTCTCTCCACCCAAGAGTGGATACCTGTTAGAGTTAGAATGTCAAATGCACTGATGACCTGCTGCAAAATTATAAAATGCCCCTCCTGGGGTGGGGGCAGAGATTGTGTTCCATAGGTATTTAATTCAGTGACTAGCGTAATAATAATGCGAAGCACATAAAAGCATTAGCACGACACCCTATATAAATAATTCTACCATTTTTATTTAAGAAAGTGTATAGTTTATCAATTTATATTTTCATAAATATAATTTATGTTAGTAATTCACTTATTGTTAAATATATACTTTTTATGTTACAGGCCGATGAAGCTGGTGACAAACCAGATGAAGATGTTGATTCAAAGCTTGAAATGGCGTGCAGTCGGTTGGCCGCCGAGGCCATTAGGCGCGGCAGCTCTGACAATGTAACGGTGATGCTTGTTAGCATTACCCATATATAATATTTCTCTTAGTTGTCACTATTTAAGCGAGCTGATGAAATATCTTCTAATGATGTTAATTTTTTGATTTTAAATTTAGTCATTCTAAGAGTAGGTTGATAAATAGCCAAATTTTTATGTTCGTCAAATAATGGCAGAAGGCAAAGTCTCTGTTTCTGGTTGTAGTATACAAATACAACGTTGTTCGAGGTGAAGTAATGAATTCTATTTCCTGCAGTGTTGAGCTTTACTGAAATATAACCCATGTTGCATTTGTTTTACTATACCTCATAAATATTAAACAGAAAACCGTACATCTAACATTACCCATTTCAAGCTGTGAGTGCAAAATTACACAGTTTGCATATGGTTCAGGTAGATGGGGGGTGTAGTACTTGATTTTTGGTGGTATCTGCCCCCACCCCCCAAACACATATATATAGGGTACTCACAGGCATGTAGCTAAAACTACCACACTCGTTACCAGGCAGAATTAACCAATAAAATGTTGTTATTACCTAATTAATATATATATATGAGGTATAGTAATGTACAATACATAATATGAAATTTAGCAGATGGTACATGCTATAATCTTTTGTATTAGTCTTTGCAATAAATGGACTAATATAAATGTAAATCATATTATATAATTTTAATTATATGTTATATAATTTTTTATAATTACATAACATGAATCATACTTAAAAGATTATGAATTTATTTGTAAGGAAAATTCTTAAACCTTTACATCTTAAATTACAATTGGCAAAAATTGTGTGAGGTTAACTATGTGCACTTATATTTATTAATAAAGAGAATAATAATTTGGTATGGTACCATATTTTTATATTTTACTGCATTCAGTGCAGGCCTGTATCCAGGAGGGTGCAGTGGGTATAATGGAAAAGGTCTACATTTTTAAAGAAAATTGAGAATGTTCTGAAAATAGAATTTATTTTCTGGTATATGAAGCCCTAATGCATATACTTTTTTTAGATTACAAGGATGAAATTGATTAAAGGCTTACGGACCATATAATATCTTAGTTTCGATCCTTCTAGCTCTTTCCCCTTGACCTAGCCAGGGATTCTTGGTGACCTTCCTTCCATATTCATTCTATTCTTCTACTAGGAAGCTTTCGATTGCACAACGACGGTAGGACGTAGAACGTAATGACGTCACTAAAAGTCATCCGCGCATACGAGAACGTTAAGGTCACCTCGTCGAGTAGATTCTCGAACGCAATTTCACCAAATCTACGTATGCAGAGAACGTAGGATGAGTGATTCCGTTCTAGTGTCGCGTCGTCGCACAAATCGAAAGCTCGAAATTGCCTTGCTTTGCACTGGTGAGATGCTTAACTCTACGTTAATACAAAATGCATACTTTGGTAGTTGCCATAAAAGAATATTCCATCAGTGAGTAGGCCTACTGGGTCGATATAATGTGATGTTCATTACTGTTTCTTTCAAACTTAATTTAAAAGGACATTTTTAAAAATATATAAGCTTATAGATAATTAAATTGTGGTTTTCTTCATAATTGATGGTATGAAGTGAAATTATTGTTAAGAAGGTAATTTATTAAAAACCAAGACAGACTGTAGTTTTTGTTTGGAAGTGTTGTTCCTTATTGCTTGATTACTGTACGTCAGAATAACTAGTTACACCTTAATTGCCGGTTGACTCGGACGTCATATGACTATGACTACATTGCGAAAATACAGTATATGCACCGCAAAAGTCAGAAAAACGATTTGACAAAAAACAATTATAACAAAAACGCAAAAATTTTGTCAAAATTGAATTATTTTTGGATCCTGCTATTTTCCATGTTTTTGTGTGTTCTGTGGCACCTACGGATCATAAAAATACTCTCCGTGGTCCGGTTGCAAATGCCACTGAACCTAGTTTAAAGCTCAAATAATATTAATTCAAAAAATATCTAAATACAGGTAATTGATAATGCATAATTCTGTCATGTTTCACAATAAGCCTATTTAATGTTATGAAACAAAGTTAACTCAAATAATCGGGGTTTTTTTCCATGAACATTGGGTACCATTATATGAACAATCGGCAGAAAAACGAATAAATGAAAAATAGCACGGGTTTTTTTATTGTCGAAATTTGACTATCTTTTGACCTGCCACTTAGCCATTTTCCGGTTGTTTTGTGTTTAGCACCTTCGGATCACAAAAATGGGAGGCTCCAGTGCGGCGCTTATTCGTGAGCGGTGCTTATTCGAGAGCGGCGGTTAAAAAAATAATGGTGTGGCACTTTCTGTGCCAGTTCCCATGTTATGCATTCCACCTGGTAGGCCTATCAAATGTCCTATCATCGTAAATAAACGTTTATAAAGGAATGCTTGTGTCTTCATTGTGTTATTCATTTTAACACGGTATAGGCCTATTGTATTTAAAAGGAATTTAAAACCCTGTTTCTCAAAGTGTTTCATTACACACAGGGTAATAGTGCACCCTCCAATTCGAGACCACTTTTCCAAAGACCCAAATAACAATCTTCAACCTTTTAACACAAAGCTAGCCCTGTAATTGGAGACCAACGCTGAGACCACCCCAAATTTTCAGGTCCCGAAGGTGGTCTCGAACTGTATGTTGGTGCGCGCGGCGCTTATTCATATTCGAGCATTTACGGTAAGCCTACTTCGGGTTTTTTTTTTTTGTCGAAATTTGATGATTGGACCGTGCCATTTTCCTGTTGATTTGTGTTTGTGTTTGTTGTTTGTGATTTTTCCCCTAGGAAAAATATTATCTAGCCCTGGTTACAAATGTCACATAGAACTTTAGTTTTAAGCTTAGTAAATTAATCAGTCGTTTTGATTGATTGATTGATTGATATATGTGATTGAGGGAGCAGCTGTTATATAGTGATTTGTTTGCTTAAACTTCCCCTGACCATGTTGGTCTAATAAATAATCTGAAATATAAATAAACTGAAACTGTGTCCACCCATAAATGACGTGCAACTATAACGCGTGATACAGAAATTTTAGGTGTGACTTCGTAAAACGCGCCGCCTATCGACAGTCATAAACTGTCACTTTGTCATTATTACTCAACTCGAGTGATGAGGTCGCCGCCGCCTGCGGACTACATGAACGTCACTGTCAAGGTTTTATACAGTCTTTTTTAAATAGGTAACTGTGAAGGAAGGATAAGTTTCCGTTGATGATAAGGACAAGATGGAAATGTTTTTAATTTTAGCTTTGATTCACCTTCCGGTAATCGTTAACTCTCAGGATTCTCAGGACAAGTTGAAAGATATTACAATTGGTAAGTGGCTATGATGCCCTAGGCTAGTATAATAATCTAATTTCGTTATATTATACCAGTAATTAATATATAAGTTGGCTTACCATAATTATTCATACTTCTTTGCATGTATAAAATAGCTTTCATGTGATTTACTGTCACATAGTGCGTATAACCTCATTTAAGTCTGCGCGTGCATTGCGTCAGATTGCAAATGAGAATGCACGACTTGTCGTGAAACAGCACCAGTCATTTTTCGACTGGTATACTTCCAAAAGTTAAATCCAACAAACGGGGTAATCCTGTTCGTTCTGAAAATAATATTTGTTATCTATTTTTAAGGTACGGTATGTTACCGTTCATGTTTTACAGCCTATGGCAATAATTTGCGGCTCTGCTTTCACGTGAATTTTGAACGATTTAGACAGAGTAGAACTTCTATTACTTATCAAGAGAATCAGGGAACTACGTTTTCAGTCCATCATCGTCTGCATCATTTTTCGACTGATATAATGTTACTTTCACCTGGCTCGTCTCCTACGCTTGTTCGAAATGTACACCTAGTGCGTGACATCTTCGCAACGCAGGGAACTGTTTGTGTACTTTATGACGCTTGCTGAATGGCGTTATAGTGCGTGTTCTACAAGCCTATCTCAGTTACGGCCACTAGGATGGAATATCTCCATAGATCTGTTCAATTAATTCGGTTGATTAGATTAAACTCAATAATGATGTTAATAGGTCTATACCGGTATTAAATATTGGCCTAGAATGAGAATCATAAACTAAACCAAAATATTGGTAAATACAAATTTATTGTATTTACCTGAACTTTATGAGTCCTGAACTTTATGAGTAGGCTACTATTAAAGGCGATATTTTAACAGCTTGTTTAGCGACTTACCGTATATTTTTTAAAAATTGTCAACAAATAACAATTAAATTTAATTTTCTCATATCGCAAAATTTTGCTAAAAGTATCTAGGTTACTTTTGGAGATTAAGGGGAGCGGAGGGCGTTATAAAACAAATTATAACAATTTTTCCCCCTGAAATTACCATTTTTCGTGGCGGAGGGAGGACTAACTGGATAACATACGGTGTATGTTATGTATAAACGTGTTTTAATATTCACATTAAATAATGATAAGTAACGATATTAGCTGGCAATAAAGGAAATAAATGTTTACTAAAATAGTTTAAATCTGCTAAATCTAAATTTTTCGGATCTGTGTTTTTCTGTTTATGTTTTATTCTTTTCAATGAGCGATCCAACCAGGTATCAACTACGTTTTTTTTATAGGCTTATTTATCCTTATCTTGTTTGTTTGTATAGACCTAATTAAGTTTATCATTACCACCGTCCTTATAATTCACATAAATTAATCATGATTAAATAATTTGCCGTGTAATAATCTATGGCAACCATACAAAGAAATAGCATTTGCCATGCAACATTTCCAGTCACGCCAAGGAGTGAATTAACGCCATACGAATGTCACGTGGTACCGCGTGTCTAGGCGAGGGGTGTTGTTTTTAAGTTTATTCAGTCGTAGGGTGCATCTAGCTAGATGATAATGCTTATTATTATTAGCGCCGAAGAATGAGTGTACATTGTTTATGTAATGATTAACAATATTTTCAGAAGACTGATATCCAGACATACAATCAGCTCCTACACCTCCGATCTTACTGAACGACGATTCCCTCTCAATTACGTAATATTGTGTATTTCCAGCTAACAATAATGAACGTGATAAGCAATTCGGTGTTTCATATCATAAATGTATTATTTTTGCATTGCAAAATATTGTTGTAAATTAGTTATAATTCAACTGTAACTCATTCTTATGTTAACTAAAATAAAATTTTGAAGAATCTTTATCTATCATTGAACGAAAACATACCAAAAACCCATATTAAGGGGACAATATCACTTTTTGGGTTTTTTTTTTTTGGTCCCGAAGGTGTCCCCTTCAATAGGTGTTGTACTGTATTTTATAGGGTTTGCGCAGGCGGCATTTACAAACATATAACAAATATACGATTTTCTTTATTCGCTAAATACAGGAGTTCTTTTGACCGGTTCAATAGAAAAGCCGCCTCTTCAACTTCGAGCTCTAGAGATGGCATTTTCAAAAGTAAACGACGATCCGGATATATTACCCGGATTTCGATTGGTTCCCTTTCCGATGTATACCCAATCCAGTTTAGATACGTTTGGAAATATAAAAAATGGTGAGTATAACGAAGAAACTATGTTAGCAATATATTACGCAAATACAAGGAATGGATCATGATAGCATTTAGTGGAATGATAATCTACGAAAGAGGTGATTTTAATTTTGGGAAGTAAACGTCATGGACAATGTCAATGTCACAGAAATCCGATTTTTTCTCCCTTAAACTTAACCTCGAGCATAAAAGTAAATAATGGTATCGCCTATAACCGGTCTACATAATTGTTCGGTATTTAGGTACAGGGCAGAGGTATGCACTCTATGGAGCGACTGCTCTAGTTTTATATAGCTAACCAACATCGATATTTTTTAGCATATGAACACATCAGTAATTATGATGACCGATAAAACGAACTTGTTCCAAACACACACAAATTGGAATCGGAGTATGATTTCATCATGGTTTTCTATGTGTGCACATTGAAGATTGTTTCTCAGATATTGGGTGTAGCATATTAAAATTAAAAAGAAGAATAACAATCTACTTGGCTATGATAATCAAAGTAGGTCAGATTCCGTGCGGGGACATGATGCACGTTCAAACTTTCCTTTCAACATGTCCAGATTATTATAACATTCGCGATGGTTCCCGGAATCAAAATAACAAATCGAACTCGTAGGCGACAGGTGGCGCTGTTGGTGGTCATTTCACGATATTAATATGCCAATTGAGAAATTAGTACATACATAATCTCTAATTATTGTGCAAGCTACGCCGTGGCTTATGGTACCGGACGGAACTGTTCTAGGTGTCCGATTTTGCTTCGTTAAGAATGATACTTGCGTGCATCTGTTTCTGTAACTTTTTCAGCCACTTGAATTAGGCCTATGTAGTGTAGTGTCTTTTTATTATTATTATGAAGGGACTTAACTCCATGCAGGGATTGGAAAGTACATGTAGAGACTCTATTGCCCTGTTGCTAGGAAACGTAGATGTTGGTGACTTTTTCTCCTGCCATGAACTCAAGTAGGTCTATGTAGTTATGAGCCCTAAATCCCATCCACTCAATTGGGTTTATCAACATTACAAACACAGACCCAAAACGGTTTGAAAATCTCAGATGATCATTCTATTGTAAATTTAGCTGTCAATTAAAAATTCTGAAAATCTGCTGCTCGGATCGTCTCTGGGTCTACAGTGAAGATTTAATGCCTCACTTTGACAAAATTGTAAGGCGATGGTACAGTTTAATGAAAATAGTGTATAATAATTATTTGATTATGATTTTCATTTATATAAAGCTAACAACTTAGGCCTATTACAAAGAAAGCCAAAGAAGTTAAATAAGAACTGTATTCAACGAACTACTCACCATCCATAAAGCAAACACAGCAATACTTGTCAATAAAGACGAGAAAAACCGAAAGGAAGGTCAGATGGAAAAAAAAAAACAACTTAGGAACAATAACATAAGCCAGTTTTAGCGGAGAAGTCGACACATTTTCCAGTTGCAACACAATTAAGGAGAGGAGCAAAGATGTCAATCGGGGAAATGCCCAAACGTTCTCCATCGGTTCACAGAGTGGCTTCCACTAGGAATAACCATTATTATTTAACAACAACAATAATAATCAGCAAACTGTAACAAAATAAATTTTTCAGTTTTGTCATCACGAACAATTATTTAGACACTTTTCATATTCAATACTCTACAATTAAAGCTTGCTTACAGTGGGGTACGTTTTTAACAGTACAGTAATTCATTTTCATTTCCAATTTATTGTACATTATATTGAGTTACTGTGGAATAAAATATTATTTGACTTGTTTTGATTTGAAATATCAATAGTGTGTTAACAACTTAAAGTCATGCTCCGGAGGAAAAAAAACCATTTTTGATATATTGTATATTTTTAAAAACTGGGTGAAAAGGTGGGAAAACGGTGATTACGCCCCCTTTTCTCCATTTCATTTAAATATTCAAAAGTCTGTATCTCATTAAACGTACCCCGAGTTTTTCGTCAAACACCCTAATGTCTTATAAATGAATAACCTTTAAGCTTTTAACCTTTAAAAATCAGTTGTACAACATATCAATTGTTTTTTCTCCTGAACCTGACGTTAATTAATTTATTTATTTCTGTGTCTCTACCAGTTTGTGAAATCCTAACAAACAAGGTGGGGGCAATCATCGGCCCCATGAGCTCGACCCCAGTGAGAGCGGTTTATCCAATCTGCGATGGCGTGCATATGCCGATGATTGCGCCGATGGCCACGGACCCAACATTTTCCACGACGGTCTCATCGTACAAATATCTTATGAAGATGCTTCCCCCAGATAGTGTACAGAGTCTAGCTCTGGTTGACATCATAGAACACTTTGGCTGGGAGAAATTGGCTATTCTTACATCATCAAGTGAAATAATAAATATACATATATATATATATATATACATACATATTATATATATACATATATATATATATTTATATTTATACATTTGTATACCGTATTTATATTTATATATTTAATGTCTTTTAATCTTTTTCAGACATCTGGTCCCTGTCTCTTTTACACATCTAGATGTGTATAAGAGACAGGGATTATATTGATCTCTGTTATTTGCCAAGCATCAAGGGCTAGTGGCATCCAACTACGCATGCGCTAGAGTGCGAAGACTTAATTGCTTTATCGGATTTGAATTCGCAACAAAACGTCAATATTATAGAATTTCTGTTAGTTGGGAGATATGAAACTGTATAATGAAAAGAAACCAGTCTATTAAATATTCAAAAGAATGACGGGTCCAATTTAAAAAGAAGTTCTCGTTTTATTATTTTATAAAGGGATAAATTCAGTTCGGGAATTTGTTAAAATAGCGATTCAACGAAATTGGAAAATTGTAGCACATGAACAGTTTTATGTTCCTCGAAACGCATTAGAGAGTGTAGATGCAGACAGTCAGTTGCGTTCCATCAGAAGCAAAGGTGCTAGGATTATTATTCTCAGTTGCTTAGCAGAACATGCCAAAGTTGTATTGGCAGAGGCTAAGAATAAAGGCATGACCCAACGTGGATGGGTTTGGATAGTTACGGATGGTGTCACGACAGATGTAAGCTTATCACGCTTTTATCTAAAAATCAGCTTAATAATAATTAAAAATAATAATGTTAATGAAGATAATGATGATGATGATAATGATGAGGATGAATGTTGTGGTAACAACGACGATGACGGTGCGGCGGTGGTGAGCACGACAACGACAACAACAACTATGAAGATGAAGATATGAAGAAGAAACAGAAGAAGAAGAAGATGAAGACGACGATGAAGATGATGATAATGATGAGGATGAGGGTGAAGATAATGATGACAATGATAATGGCAATTATGACGATGATGATGATTATGGTGGTGATGGTGATAAGTTTTTTGTGGGTGATGCTGTTTTTTTTCTTTGCTGATGATGATGGGCCTGGAGATAGTGATTGCCGATAGCGATGCGGAGAGTGATGGTGAATGGCGATGGTGATAATAAATAGTAATGACTGTGACGATGATGATGATGATGATGACAATAATAATAATAATAGACTAGAATTTAAGATCTATCCAAGAACCCCTCCGATCCTGTTAATGTTAATAGAGCACTAGTGATTTAGCCATATTAGCTAATCTTTCTTTTATTTTAAACTCAAATAGAACTTGCTATTCGAAGACGCATGTGACAGACCAGGATCCCATCTAGTGGGGTTGATTGGAACCCGACCCACAATATCCGGAGGGGAGTTATATGAGACATTTTTAGAAAAGTGGACAGAAATTCAAGGAACTGATGAAAACATGCCAAACTGTACATTAGATTATCCGGTAATGTTTTTCTTATGACCTTCAGTGGCGTATCTAGTATCTAAGTGGGTTTCCCCCAGTCGCCCACCCCCCGGACCCTATTGAAAATGTTCAAAATTAAAAAAAAATAAAAAAATAAATAAAAAATCACCTTAAATCACCTTATTTTGAGAGCTAGCTCCACCTCACCTAATCAACGATCCCTCCACTTCAGCTTTGCAACTCCCGCCTTATCAGCCCTTCCCCACTCCAAGAGTCCTATAGTGAAGCATCTACATTAAACACGCAAATTATTTTACAAAGTGTTTTAACCAAAATAAATTAAAACGTAGTATAGAATTATAAGTCATTTTTTGTTGTTATTATTAATATTATTTATTATTATTATTATTATTATTATTATTATTATTATTTATTATTATTATTTATTATTTATTATTATTTATTATTATTATTATTATTATTATTATTATTGTTGTTGTCGTCTTTGTCGTCGTCGTCGTTAATATATCATGGTTTGGTTTGATTCATAGGTAGATGCAATGTTGATTTACGACGCAGTACTCGCGACAGCGTATGGTCTCAACGACTTCATTATTGCTGGGAACGAAATTGAAATGAAGCAATTTCCAAATAGATTATGTTCAATGGAAATCATCAAACCTTGGTATCAGGGAGAACTTGTGATGGACTATATAAGTAATGTAAGTAATCAAACAATTGGTGCTGGGGCTTTATGGAGTGCTCTCTCCAGTCCAACACTGGGATCTCAATTAAAAAATAATTTTAAAGATTAGAGCCAGAATGTTTTAACTCAAAACAAGTTCAGAAATTATACAATTTGATGGTGTGGACAGCGCTTAAGTATTTTTATATTATTTTCTATTGTTATTGTTAAAACTATGCTAATCAGTCTCATAATTGTATCGAAGAGTACAAGTATTAACGACTTAACTGTATTCAACGATGATTTTACTGTATCAACTTTACTGGGATAAAGTCCTAACCAGAGTATCAAATTTGATTTGACATAAACATGTGACATGCCTAAATATGGTCATAATGACATCACATCGTGACCATATATGCACATCATTATATATGTGTATATATAAAATAATAAATATACATATATATATATATATACATATTATATATATACATATATATATATATTTATATTTATATATTTATATATTTATATACCGTATTTTTATTTATATATTTAATGTCTTTTAATCTTTTTCAGACATCTGGTCCCGGTGTAATGAACATGATAGCGTTTGATAAATACCGCACACCTGATATCGGGGGATACGACATTGTAAATATGCATTCAAAGGGTTTTAGAAAGGTACTATCATAAGGTTATAAATAAATAAATAAATAAATTATATATATATATATATATAAAGTATATATATATATATATGTATATATGTATATATATACAAATATATATATATACAGTAGGTGACTATTTCTTCCAAAAAGTTAATCATCTGTCTCTGAGATTGTTAAATGCCATTCCACTTTTATGATGATCGATTCCTAAGATTTTGCGTAATCTTGCTAACAGACAGAAAGACAGAACTGAATACATGGACCCGGTCGGCCTTGGCAGTGGTAATAACAGCCAAGTGCAACCTAGAGAGGCATAGAGAATGAAGTCTGATATAACTGAAAACAATATAATAATCTTGTTCGTAAATCTTATAGATTGGTGAATGGTATTCAGAAGGCAACTTTACTTTCTTCAATGAACCAGCAATAGAGTTTATGGGAAGGTCATCTGAACTGCCAAAAGACAGCTCCAATGACCTCACTAACATAACTCTGAGGATTACTACAATTCTGGTTAGTGAAATTATTATTGGTAATATTGTTGTTTTTATCGTAATATCATAGTCGATATTTACAATTATTGTCAAATAGTCTCATCATTATCATTTTCGTTACTATAGTTATCCTTTTCAACGTTATCGTCCTCATCATTATTATTATAACAAATTCGTCAATGATAAACCAGAGAAATTATTTAATTAACATAATTATAATAATTAATATTATTACTATAGTTTTATTCATCATCATTGTTATTATTATTAATAACATCATTGTTTTTACACTTTGGTTAAAAATAACACAAATATTATCAGTATTATCATCGTAATATTTATTAATAATCTTACGATTTTAAATATTATTCTATATCTATTATGTTTATTATTGTTAATAGGCCTATATGATGAGTACCTCCTAATCCATTTGCGAAAATTTCTTCTACATTCATCTTGTTTATCTTAAATAGGAAAAACCATTCGTGATGGAGCTACCGGACGTTGACCCCAACTCCAACGATCGTTTCTATGGATATTGTATAGATTTACTAAACGAATTGAGAAAAAATATGAAGTTTGATTATGTCATTGATGTTGTACCAGACAAGACCTATGGTAATATAGACCCCTACACCAAGGAATGGAACGGTATGGTGAAACAACTACTAATTGGAGTAAGTTTATAGTCCACATTCAAGATTTATATAATAATAAATGATGAAATAATATATAATAATAATAATCGTATAGTAATAATGATGTAATTATGATATATAATAATATATTATAATAACAATATATTCAGTTTTTGTGCTCGATGACCTGGGACCGGCAACATTATTAATCCGTTGACTTTGAATTAATTTTGAGATTATTAGGGAGTTTTCGATGCATGACGTTAATCTTAACTTTAACATTAGTACCCAACATGCAGCGCGATAGCTCCGCCCCTTTTGTAAACAAATTGAAATACTCATGCGCAAACTCGTAACTAACGTACGTCGAGCACGTAAAATCCTGAAATTAACGTACTCCGCAACGCAAGATGAATAATTATGACGTCTTCCGTTAAAGTTAAGGTTAACGTCGTGCATCGAAACTCCCTGTTATTCAATTAACAATAAAATTATTACCGGTAAATAGGTAGTGTCCGAATGGTTTGTTAGAATGTTCCCTTATTGTCTTGTATCAACATAATCTCGGATTGTATTTCTCTGAATTAAGTAATAATGACGTAATAATAACAAAAGCGTGTCAGTTAAAAACGTCGCCATAAAATATGTCATTTGTTATTTGTGTCGCATATGGCTACTGAACTGTTTGAAATGGTGATGCTTATGATAATAATGACTATATTATGAATCCAAAAGTCCAATTGTGAACATTTTTGATATAATTGTGCACAATTTTCTATTATTGTGAAATTAGAATGCTGACATAGCGGTGGCGCCCTTTACAATCAGCTACGAGAGAGAGCAAGTTATAGATTTCACCAAACCTTACCTAGACTTGGGTCTCACAATACTAATGAGCAAAAGTAAAAAGGAAAGTGGTCTCTTTGCTTTTCTTGACCCATTCCGTATGGATTTGTGGCTTGCAGGTAAGTTTAGTTTGCCTGTTATATCATGATTATGGGGGCGCCTTTTAATGTTTAATAATTAATATAATAGTATAATATTACAAGATATAACACTTTACTTTAGTTGCTTTGAATATACTGCGATGTATACAAATAAAAATACGTAAAATCTACTTTGTCCAATTATTCTATATAAAATATGATGCAGTATATTATTTTTTAAGACACAAAGTTGACATAAAAACTTTACTCATAATCTAGTACAAATAGCCAGTATCAAAGATTCAACAATATATATTTATCAACGATCAAAGATTCAATAATAGATAGGCCTATGTATTAACTTTTAAAGATTCAATAATAGATAGTTATCAACTATCAAAGATTCAATAATATATATTTATATAACATATGAAAAATACATTGCACAGAATATAATAATCATATCAAATATCTATAGAAATCACATAAAAGATATAATACAATTAAATATATTGAGTTTCAAAATTTAAGTAGTATAGGAGTATATTAACTGATTTAGGCCTATATTGATATAAATTGATCCATATTGATTAAATTGGTCCATATTGATTCATATTATTTCACATTCATCGATACTTTTATTTCACATTGATTCAAAATTATCCACTTCGATCTATATTAATTTAAACTGATTTACATTGATCATTATTGATTAATATTGACCAAATTGATTCATATTGATCCATATTGAATAATATTGATTCACTTTGATTCGAGATATATACTTTTCCAACAGTGATATTGACTGTTATCTTGGTCGGGTTCCTTATTGCTGGTTGCAGTTATTTTAGTCCTCACGGATATTGTGGTGAATATATTCAAAGTCCAGAGCAGAAGAAAGATGAGTTTGTCGACCGTAACAGTATGAACCTATACAATGCCATGTGGTGGTCATTTGCAGCGGGCGTCCAACAGGTAACGGTCAACAGTTTGTTTATACGGGTATACAGTAGCAAACAAGTAGATCCCATATAATAATAATAATAATAATAATAATAATAATATTAATAATAATAGTAATAGTAATAATAATAATAATAATAATAATAATAATAATAAATCACCTTTTAACTAATAATTAACTAATGTTAGTTTAACATCACTGTTGCATATTATCATATCTTAATTAAACTATTATTAACATCAATCGACCTATCATTCTTCACCCGATAATAATGGACAGATAAAAATGGAACAGTAAAATGGCGGAATATATATAAAAACTGTAAAAGACAACAAGCATTAGCAAATAATTGAATTAATTGCACTTTCTACCATTAGGGAGCCGAGAACAACCCAAAATCGTTGGCTGGACGCATTGTTGCCACGTTCTGGTGGTTAGGTGTCACCATCATCATTGCAACGTACACGGCTAACTTAGCCGCGTTTCTTACCGTTTCAAAAGCTAGTGAAGGTATGTTTTCTACATGCTAGATATAGATCATAGAAAAATTATTTTCATGGATATAATGCGCGGATATTGTTCTTCGGGTTCAGGTAACATAAAAATCAAAGCGGCACACAGAAAAAAGTACACTCATTTGTACAAGAAGCCAATCAAATCATTGAAACACTTACATGACACTTAACGTAGGTCGAGCATGCTCAGACTGATGACTCATCCATTAAAGTCTATCCGACATCATTGTCTTTAGTTCATTTAGGGAGCATCTAGTGTCATTTTAAAGTTGATCTATATATGTTTGGTCATGAGAGAAAGTGTGACATTAATTGTCAGGATTTTCCCCAGCAAGTTATGGTCGAGAAGTGTAGGTTGGTATTTGAACCATCGACCAAATCACATAAATAGAGAGTACTGTATAATAACATAATAATTGTGAAAGAATCTGGATTTTTTTTTCGTCAACACTATTAACTATCAATCAAATTTAATGGAGATGATATTACTTTGAAACCTTATCATTGGCAGGTATTAACTCGATAGATGATCTGTCCAGACAGACAGACGTTTCGTATGGAACTGTCGCCGCTAGTCAGCCACAGTCATACTTCGAAAATGCAAAAGTTGATCCGTTCCTGAGGGCGTGGCATTACATGGAGAAAGAAAATTCGTTTGTAACGACAGCAGAGGAAGGTATACAGGCTGTCCGTGATAGCAAATACGCTTTCATATTCGACTCCGCTGTTCTTGACTATGAGGCTAACATAGAACCCTGTGATGTCCGAACTGTAGGCCGTCTTTTTGGAAAGGTATGTAAAATACCGGTGTCATGGGTATTTCTACGTAAAACCGGGCACACACCTCGTCCGACGGTCGTCGGCCGACGTGGTTCAATGGCGAGAACGTAATGCCACGACGCGCGAGCGCAACGGATGACGATCCATTCAGGCTGCCACCGACAATCAGCAAACGGCGTAACGTCGTCAAAGGTGGATCAGTCGGCGACGGTCGTACGACGCAGTGAGTGCCCGGGTTAACGTGCATAGTGAATTTGCCAGAGGCTAAAGTCCCTAGTGAATTTGGGCCCGTAACCGACTTCTCGGCTCAAGCAGCCAATCAATGGATCTAGATCAGTTTGCTGAAACCCAATTTGCAGAATACCAGAGTGCAGATTCTGATTTATCGGAACTCAGTTTATCTCACAGTTTATCAAATACGAGATTATCAGCTCCCACATCATTATCACCATCATTATTTATCATTATCATCATCATCATGTTTATTCCACATCCACTGTTTTAAACAATTTGTTCATTAACATTTTAGATTGGATATGGTCTGGGACTTGCTCGTAATTCACTTTACACGGAACCATTTAGTTTGGAGATCTTGAAGCTTCGACAATCAGACTTCATGGACGGACTCCAGAAGCGGTACTTCTCAGGGGGATGTGACGGAGCTGATGGTAAGTTAAAGCGCCAAATAAAACACTTTACTGCCTTTAGCAGTACATTGCTCTGCGGTCCGGCGGCAATTTTGTTGCGGCCCGTTTGCTCAAAAAGCAGTACTTATCAAAAAGTAATAATACAGAACCAATCTTTCTAGTCTGCACCTTTCTTTGGAAAAGGCTTTCCCTTACGAATTTCGACAAACTCGTGATTTTGATTAATTCAAGCCAGCACTCAAATTCACCTTTGTCAATCCTGTTTCTCTTCAAGCGATGAGAAATTTACGGATGCCTTGTACATTTCATAATTATATCTGTGTAAGAATGCTACAAGATAATTAAATATTCAATAAATATATTTGTTATTATTCTTTACCGGATGAGAGTATTGTTTGTTTTTTTCAGCAAAAAATACACTGCCCAGTAAAATTGGCCTTCGTCAAATGCTTGGAGTCTTTTACTTTTTGTTTGCTGGAATTGCCATTGCAATATTACTCCTCATCATTGACTGGATCATAGCCTCATTCAAGGAAGCTAGAAATTCTAGACGGAGTACAGGCCTAAATGTAAGTAATAGGTGCAATAAATTCAGTAATGTTTTACAAATTCTTACACATCAAATTTGTGGAAACATCTCTTAAACTTCGCAAATCGTATAAACTCTGCAACGGTTACAATTTAATCGCTAAGAGCCAGAAAGAGATTCTTATCTTGTTTAGAATAAAATGGCGCGTGAAAAGTGCTACGCTATTTTAATGTTTAGGCCTAATTCTTATCGCATCAAGTTTAGAATAATATGGCGCGTGAAAAGTGCTACACTATTTTAATACTTAGGCCTAATTCTTATCGCATTAATCACAAATTACTCTTTATGTTGTCTCTCGTGAAAGATGTACTGATCTTAAAAACTTCATACTTAAAAATAATATTTAAGTAGACCTAAGTTTTAGCTTCCACTTACAGAAAAGAATGAGAATAAAACAAATTTTGACAATTAATAGTGTACGAATAAATAAATTGTTTCCAATATTATTTTGCCTAGACTTAGACCCTTAAAAAGTTGTAATCAAAGGCTTATAGTAAAAGGGGTCGTAAAACAGGAGATACTGTTTTATAAAATTTGCATATTTATTATATTTATATATTACTGTATGTTTATTTGTTCATTTTGAAATAAGTTTTTATTTTTCGAATTTATGGGTTATCCTGTTTTCAAATGTTTTAATGTTCAGTGTTTTTTTGTAACATTATCTGTATTCTGGTAATGTATTGGAAGAAAGTGAATAAAATCAAATTAAATATACCATTGAAAGTTATGTAAAAGAATGTATTCAATGTTTTAGTCTCGTAATTGATATGTTCAGGGGTTCCTCTCTTTTATGTTTTAAGATAATTTTCTTGACTATTATTTGGAAAATAAAGTAATCTGTTTTCCTAATTGTTTTCTAGAGTATTTCAATGTGTGGAGCATTAGGGCGTCGGCTGCGTGTCACAAAGAGAGACCTTTTAAAATCATGCAGTTCGAGGGAAAACGATCACGGTGAAGATAGCGATTATGATCAGGGTGTCCAGTTAAACACGGCCGAACAGTACCGACATAAGGACAACACACCGGTGTACGTTGGAAGTGATGATGTCAGAGCCGGGGAAAAGAATCATTATGGCTTCAACCATCAAACATCAGAAAACACCCTTTGAAAAATAGCATGTGACATAGGTTTTATTTTGTAATTTGAGTTAACTCGAGGTTACGTTGTTTGGACGATTTGTGGAATGAAGATAAAAAGAAGTCAGGTTTGGAGGTGATAAACCAACTGCATTAACCTCTGAGACGTCAATGAGTATGACGTCATATGGTGAGACTAGCAAAAAACATGTCGTGGGTCATTTGAGAATTTATTTTAAATAAACATGTGACTCTATTGACCAATGAGAGTATTTATCATTCTGATGTCATAAGTACTTTGTCAAACAAGAAGATATTATGGTAACTGGAAGGGTTGAAAGTGCAAAGTTTGGTGGTAGCAGAAGCTCAGATTTTGTTTAAGTCATATACAGTAAATGGAATCTAACAAATGACATAATAGTATATCGTACGGTAACTGGAAGGTTTGAAATGTAAGAGTTGGTAATAACAGAGGTATCGGTATTTGCTTATTCACTGAAATGTATAAGCCTATGGAATGGATCTTTGTGAGAAAACCGAAGGCGTATAGGAATTTACTATTAATTTACTACAGTATATATAGGCCTAATTTGAAGACTATAAAGTTGCAACAGGTGCGTATGGTACGGTAAGTTTGAATTTTAGAAAATGAATGATATTAAATGTGACATGAATACTAAGTTAAAACTTGAGAATTGATTGTCAATTTCAACCTCAATTTCGGTTCATTTGCATAAACAATGATGAAAAGATTAGCAAATGACGCGCATGTCACCTTTTGATGATAATCTGGAAGCATTGGTAGGTGTACGATTATAGTCACCAGTTTTGATACGACCAGAATTCAGAAACGAATATGTTTCTCTGTGTTCTATGAAGCATAAAGGTACTGTAAAATATACATTGTCAGAGAGTAAATCAGTCTACTGTATGTTTGATAGCACATTACACAGATTTCAAGAAAAGCCAATATCCACTGTGGTCGGTAGACATTTTAAATGAACATAATGGATTTTTGCACAAAATATTGTTTTCACGAAACTTGCCAGTTTCCAATTTTCGAGATTTTGTTAAATGAATTTTAATTTAAAATTGGTACAAGATTTACCAGATATAATTTAGTTTTCTATATAATTTTGTTCAGAAATCGTCATGTAGCGTTTTACACAACATAAGGCCTTTCGATTGCGGACTTTCACCACTGCCGTTTATTGCTTCGATTGTCTGTTATTTGAAGTTCTTTTAATTTTCAGCAAAAGACGCAGTGAAAACATGCCTACCAACTGCCAGTTTTCAAGCTCAGTAATTTTCTGAAGCACAGTATTTGCACTTTTCATATTTTCGATTGTCTTTTTATTAAAATTGTATTATTTTTTAAGTAGAATTTTACTTCCCAGCTACTGTATTCCATGTTCTATATTGAAACTTGGAAAAGTCACTCTAATCTTCCATCACTCAACATGCCAATTACCAATTCTCGAGTTAAATATTCTTAATTTTTAGAACTTTTTGGCATCTTCGATTGTCTTTGAAGTTTGTTTAGCAATCGTACAATCTTTCATTGTTGGATTTTTCAGTAATCGTAAAGTAATGTTTCTCAAAACATACTTAAACGTCAGTTTAATATTTCAACTTTCAGCACCTTTGGTATTTTTGATTAACTTTTACTGCAATTAGTGTTACATGAAACATGCCAATTGACAATTTTCGAGTTCATTGTTCTTAACTTTAGGAACGTTTTAGCATCTTCATATCTGTCTTGGCAATTGTATAATCTGCGATCATCTACTCAGTAATCGTGCAAGTCTTGTTCTCCAAAACATACTAAAATGTCATTTTTCAAGTTCAATATTTGAACTTTTAGCACTTTTTGTTTAAGTTTCTCCAGCCACAATACAAGTAGTGTTTCACAGCACATACTGTTTATTTGTTTATTGTTGTGCATCTTTGATAGTTTTTTTTTAAAATTTTAATCAGTAATCGCGCGTACAAACTTTCTGAAATCTACCATTTGATTTGTTTATATTGATGCCGATCGCTCTTTTCTTTTGCAGAAATTCGGATTTCTCCATAGGCTAGATATATTTATAAACAGTAACTGTAAACACATGTTTTTCTTATATATGTAGATATTTATCCAATATAATATTTATATAATTTACCTGTCAAATCTCCTCGCAAAAATGTACATAAACAATTTACTATCTTTCAAATGATGAATAAACAATATACTATTTATTTATGGTTAAAAATACTTCGCTGGACGATATTAATTAAGAGTATTTTGATCGTGAGAAGTCCTGTTGTAGTTTTGTTTTGTTTTATTGTGTAGGCTACTCTAGATAATACCATTAAATATGTATAGTAATGTTTTTAAATTAGTAACACAGTGTAGTATGCCAATAAAAGGCAAGTATGCCATTGCATTGTATTTTTTTTTGGAAGTGTGCAAAAACAAACAGAAACTAAATAAACTCATTTTGTTGTCATTCATAACTTTAATTTGCTGCATTTTTCATTGTTAACATCACAACTATTGAGAACGCAATTTTCCTCAGTGGTTATAGACGGCTTGGCATAAATACTTTACAGACACAGAATTGAGAAAATTAGTCTTGATATCTGGAATGGTCTGGCTTTGGACTTTTAGAATTATAAATTCAAATTAGCATTACATAAACATAACAGTCTGTATAATAGTTCGGAAGAAACATAACATGCATATAAAAATAATTAATATTTTGTTTGTTTTTGAGCTGGTTTACATACCAATTACCAAATGAATCCCATATTTTGCAACGGCACCAGAAATTTGAGATAATAATCACATATTCATAAAGTTCATTTTTATTATATTTACATAAAAATGAATTCCATATTTGCAACAGCACCTCCAATGAAAACCTAACATAAATTGGAGACACATCTCACACTCTACAATATTTAGGTTCATTTATATACAGGTGTTTAGGTATATTCTGAATAAAATAGCCTTACATGTCTGCTTCCTCAATACATATCTCTTTGTATTTCAATGCAACAATAATAAATAAACAGATTTATTACTGTATTAAGCTCGAATACTGTACTCTCATCTGGTTTTCTTGTATGTAAACCATTTAATATAAATACTGTTTTTGATGTCTTGATCCGTTTTCAATGGATCTTCATCTGACAATGACTGGTTTGCTAGTTGTCGACGATTCCCGGTGTTGTGGGTTGCCCTCTACCAGTAGTTTCAGGACTGATTAGTTGGATGTAAATATTATCGAGTTTGTATATATATCTTCTTCTCTTTTCATGTTGTTTCCATGTTTTCGTAACCAAACATGAACAGAGACGGCACTCTAATATTTCCAACCATCTAATCAGTCCTGTGTATTCTATAACACTGCAGCAAGTAATCAGCACATTTGGCATTTTAACCCACTTATACTCCTGGGCAGAGAGAAGGAATGCAGATAATGTGCCTTGGTCAAGGACACAAGCGAAATGCACAGCAAGGGATTGAAACCCCGATTTGAAGGTTGAAAACCAAATCGATCCCGTTGTCAGGGATGTATTCCAGGGGAGCAGTGGCTCCTGTCTGATAGAAACCCACAATAAACATCTTAATAAAAGTCACCCACTCCCTGATAGTAACCCAGTGGGATATTCATTAGAATAAACGACAAACGATAATGCAAGAAAATTCATTTTTGGGATTATATAATGGCTTTACCACTCAGGGGATGGATTTATCAAACTCACTTAACAAAAAAATTAGCTTAAATCCCAAGCCAGGTCTTTTAAGATACAGAAATGTGATAATATGTTTCAGTTTTGTTTTTATCCTTTTGCAAGCATTTATAAAGTTTTGTTTAATAATACTACTACTAGTTTAGTCATAATAACGATGATGACGATAATGATAATAGATATGTTAATAATATTAATAATATTTCAAAGTGAAGAAAATTGTGCTAAAACGAAAAAGAAATTTGTCCAACCCAACCATGCCAAACCATTATAATTAGTATTGTAGTTAAAGCTTACCTGTAGTAAGCTATAGATAGGCTTAGTTGTCTTAGGTTTCCTAGATCTCAATGTTTGCTGAAAATTAATTAGATCTCTATGGTTGCTGAAGATCCCTTGATAACTGAATATGAGAATTTGTTGGCACTTCATTTTGACTATATAATGGAGATGTGATGATGATGAATTTTACTATATAAAAGTGTAATTTCTGGCCATCTAGAAGTACTATTTCCTCAAACTTTCGCGTCCCATCTTGTCCGAACCCACCCCCACTGGTACTACGTACCACTCAAGACAGCTCCCCACCTTTGAAAATCCTGTCTCTGCCCGCTGTCATTGGTCTGATGAAGATATGTTGACAATGGACCAAAACATTACAAACAGTACATATATTTAATAGTTTACTTACAAGAATTATTCCATGTTTATTACTCTATTATTATTATTCTTCGACAGCAGAAATTTCTTCCTTTCCGATGACTTCAAAGTCATCCTGCGCCTCACATTCCTCTTCTTCCATCTCAGATCCTTTACTATCATCACTTGATTCACTTTTTACTGATTCCTCGTTTTTCGAATCGTTGCTCTTTTCTTCATTTTCCTCTTGCATTTCATCACCATCTTCTTTTTTATTATCATCATCATCATCTTTTTTGTTTTCTTTATCAGAATCATTTTCCATATCTTGTTTTTCTCCACTACGCCATTCTTTGGCGTAAAAGGGTTGGAAGGATTCTCGAACACCGACATCTTCGAGAAGATTTGGGAACAACCAGAAATGAAGTTTCCCAACAGTAGCAACCCATAAGCAAGTAAAAAGAATAAAACGGACTGCAAAAAAAATGTTGAATTGTGAAATTCTGGTAGCACAGACCCACAATATTTGTATAAAAAGTTCAAACAATTTAATATTTTAAGGATTTTTTTAGAAATAGATTAGGAAATTTTTTTTATCTCTCATTTTGCAGCGGAAAAGTGTCACATTAATATGGGGTATTCCAAAAGAGGGGGTTCTACTGTATATGTATCTGTATTGGTATCAATCGTGTTACATATTATACAGTAAGACAGTGTGAAGGTGCTTTATAAATGATTGGATTATATTAATTGTTGGTTGGATTTAAAATATAATATAATTAATCAAAAAAAGAGAAAAAAGGCAGAAAATCACTTACATATAGCAAGACCTAAAATAAATCCAACAAATCCAGCACCAACAAGACTAACGTAGTATGTACCAATCTTGATCTCAGGAGGCCATAAGGGGTAGATACAGACACCAATTGCAGCAATCACTGATAAAATAAAATAGAGGGCAGCATTTATACATGTTCTATCTGTCATGAATTCTGGACATAACTCAAAATATCTATGAAAACAATAAATACTTCATTTAAATGGAACTATAACTTATAATAAAAGGATAAAACACATACAGAGCACATATTTTTAATCAGTATAATGTGAAGACAACCTATACTTACCTAGAGTAAAACCAAGTATATAATCTTTCGTCTTAACAGGGTCATACACCCACACATATGCCTGAAATTTAAACACAGAACAAAATTAATACAAATAGAAGTGAATAAAAGATAATTTAAAACAATGTTATTAATACAGTACAATCAATTCATAAACATTCTTATTATAACAAGAGTAAAGCTCTGTTCGCCGCAAGGACTGAGAAATCCTTTGCGGAGACCCAGATGGTGGCACGTGACTGAGAATCATGGAAGGAGCTGGTCAGGTGCTCAAGTGCGCAGCGACCCTATGACCACACCCGGTCACAGGACCAGCAAGCAGTAAGTAAAGCTTTGTTAACACTATATAGTTATAAAGCTCTGTCCACACTTATCAAATTTTGTGACAAATTTGTGTGATGTGCCCATATATGGGCATGATGTCACATTACACCCAAATATGGGCATATCACATTTATTTGTCACATAAAATTTGATAATGTGGACAGAGCTTTAGTGACATATATGTGTGATTTGCACATATATTGGCATGATGATGTCATGTCATGACTCGTACCTAAATTTTGTCAGATAACATTTGATAGTGTGGACAGAGTGTTATAAGTAGGTGTGCTAATTGTTTAACTGCAACACCACCTTATAATCTGTATCCATCACATTGAGTGTAATTATAATTATATTAAATTCCCACTGCAGAACCCCATCTTAAAATATCTTCACAGGAGATTTTGGGTCAATCATTCACCATTTATTTAATAACGTTCACACAGAATGGTGGCTCAATCTAGCACAGTGTAAACTGGGTACACACTGTGTTGATGGTGTGTCACAATTCCCCAAAGAAAGGAGACTGAATGTTTTGCAGTCACCAGTTGGCGCATGGTGTGCCTGGCTAGAATGTTTCATTCTGAAAGTGATATCTTCCTTTCCCAATTCAATGAAGCATCATATTTTCCCTTCTTGGGTTTCTGCTTCTAGTTAAGTAAATACTGCTAAAAAAATTTATAACATTGAAAAAAAAAAGGTTACAAAAAATTTAATTACGTCCAAGTTATCTTTAAAGCACTGATGGTCCGCAAAGTCCAATACTATTTTCTTCTTCCCTTTCTTTGTCTCTTTTTCGTTTGCTTCGTTCTCCTCCTATAACGATAAAGACATAATTGATTTTAGAACTTTGTTATTCTTTACATCACCCCGAGTTCTATATTTCTAATCACACACTTATTTTTGTGATTTTTCTCATCTATGCATTTACATGATCTTCTCATTTTCATAATTATTATTATTATTATTATTAAAAAGTATTTATATAGCGCCTTTACAAAAAAAGATCAAAGTGCTGTACATCAAAACCCATTATTACAAAGATAAAAGTAAGTATAATATTTCAAATCAATCAATAAAAAAAAATAATAACAACATTCTCATTTTTTATGATCATTCTGATCTACATTTTTGTGATCATTTTTTAATTGGAAAAAAAAAGTATTTTTCAATTTATACAATTTATAATTTTAAAAATATTTTCATTTCCCTTAAAAATGATTATTGCTATGGATGTTCATAACATTTTTTTCTCTCTCAATGTGGTCTTATTCTATTATTAACGCTGTTTTTGAATAATTGTCTGATTTTTCTGCGCATGTCATTCTGTTATCTATTTATATATATATATATATATATTTATATTTTGTCATTTTATAGAAAGACCACAGAATATCAGCTGGGCTCTTTAAATGAAGTTGAAATAAATTTTTAAAAAATAGTTAATTTGTTACTTTACTTCTTCCTCTTTTTCCTGCTCTTCTTTCTTCTTCTCTTTCTTAGATTTCTTTTCTTCAGTCTCAGACTCTTTCTTTATTGTCTCTTTATCTTTCATTTTGGAGTCTTTTTCCTTTTCCTTCTTCTTCAATTCCTTGTCCTTTGATTTTGACTCTTTTTCTTTCTCTTTTCCTTCCTTATCCTTACTCTTCGCATCTTTTTCACGTTTCCTTTTCACAGTTTTAATTGCCCTATAGAACATCCGTTTCTTCAACAACCTAAGTAACATTTAAAAATAAATTACATTTTGTATCATTACAAATTGGGAACTACTGCGGAACTCTTATTCAGTACATTATGTTATATTATTCTATACCCGCAAACTGTATTGGTGTCTAATGCACGAGACAAAAACAAAATTATATTTTCTTATACACATCTAGATGTGTATAAGAGACAGTATATATATATACTTTTATATACATTTATATTTATATCTACATGTATTTTGTATTATTTATCAAGTAGGAGACCATCTCCTTTACCTGTTCAGGTAGTTCACAACGGTTAACCTGGTAGTGAACAGAACATCTGTGCCCTTTGTACCTTTTGCCCATTTTGATTCAAGAAGAAAATCAACAGCCTTTTGTCCTGATTAATGGAAGAAAACATTTTTACAGTATACTCTACCACAAACATAAATGAAAAAGCACTTTAGTCACATTCAGATACAGCTTATTTTTAACAAAAAATATAAAGCCAGATATAGGTCTTATTGTACAACATAATATATGGCTTTTGCTCTTTGGCATAATGAGGACTGATATTTGAAATTAAGAAGTTCAAGACAATATGAACAAAAAAACCAAATACAAGCTTTAGACTAACACATGGGCTGCCATGATACTGTTGAGTGCAAAGTTCTAGCCTTTCACTATAGAACCCAATACTAGGCTTGTAATAATATGTTTGTATTCTGTTGTAAAGACTATATTGCTTAAACTTTATATGTTAATGTTTGAAAAAGATTATGTTAAGATGAATTTCACAGCAAATTTTTGTGTTAACCAATTTGTAATTGGTTTTAAAAAATTCGTAGAATAGAATGCAATAAACTGCAATGATATAATACTGTAGTTCTATTTACTAAGCGCAAGCTAGAGTAGTTATTTGGAGGTTCTGGGTTCAATTCCCATCCGAATTACTTGCGAGGTTTTTGCAATCCTACCTGGTAAGGTCAATTACCGGTTTATTAAGAAATATGCAGACTTACAGTATTTTACAGTACTAGGCACATTCTGTACTAGGCACAAGGTACATTCTATCAATATTTTTATGTCTAATATAAAATACAAGAAATTTTATTTGTCCTCATACAAGGACATACAATAAAACACTGATTTTACATATTTTCAAATTCAAATTTTGTCACAGCAGGACTTTTTCTCACGACCAAAACAACACCACTCCCTAAGCCATTAAAAAGAGACTTGGTTTAAAAAGCATCATTCTTATCCTGTAAGTGGCGAGTGTACTTGCTGTTGGATGTGAGAAATTAAAAATAAAAAAAAAAACGTTCATAATAACCATAATTAATTATATTTAGTTATTTCATCACTACCTGTAAAGTATTGTACATTCTCTTGCATGAACGTGGTTTCCTTTGTTGGAAGATGGAAACGTAAATACTTAGCAACTGCGGTTTCTTCTTTCGTTGGTTTTTCTGGTACAGCACCCTAAAGTACATAGAAAAAATCCCCAAATAAAGGCCAAGTAAAAAAAAAAAAAGTAGTTTCTCATCTTAATATTTTGAAAAAAGGAGAATAAGGGCACTTAAAAAAAAATTGGTGAGGCAGAGAAAATAGATGCATGAGGGAACGAGAAACTAGTATTTTTAAAAATTTGCCTAACAAAGGTGAAATAGGCCTCACAGGTACACATTAAAAAAATATAAAACAATATCAGAAAGCATTGTTGATGTGCTGATCAGTCACTGATAAAAGAGAGGTTTCAATGCTTTTACAAACTCTCTGTGGACTTTTGGCAATAGCAGGGAGGTAATAATTACTACCATAGACAGATTGTTCATTTATTAAATCTAGAATGGCGTATGTTGGTATATGATGAGTGACCTACAGGTAGGCTATGCATAACAACTGTGTCTCCTGTTTCTAAAACTTATGACAAGAAGAATGGTGAGGGTGTGTGATGATTGAGAGAAACAAAAGTGTGGGGAACTTGATGATTTTGAGGTTTGGGTGAACCACTTGAGGTTACTATCCCATTTACCAGCAAACCCTTTAAAAAAGCATTTAGGCAGGTTGGTGAACCTGGTTTTGCCAGAATCTTATCTCAATAATCCAATTAAACATCAAAGAAGAATGCCTCTACTTAAGAGTCATTATCACAGCAGGCATTGCTGTTTCTCAATAAATTACCAGTATAGTATTTAAAAACCAGGCTGGAAAATTTTAAAAACCTGTTGTTCAAAAATATTTGGCATGTATGGATAAGATGTGTATTTACCTTAGCTATAATTTCAGATAAAAATCATAATAGATATGCTTTTGAATTTTAAAAATCAATGACTTATGTTAGAAGTTACAACATGGTTTTTGATTTAATTGTGCTAGTCTTCTTGTGAACTATTCATAACTAATGAGCTTCACTGTTAATCTTGTTACAAAATTCCCTGAAGCAGTAATTAATAGAGATAAGAAGAGATCAGCAAAACCTGGTTCAAAAATTGAAAATTTGGTAAATGTGGCAAAGACAAGCCAAACCAGTCACTCGTTACAAATCCTGTTTTGGAGATAATGGCCAAAACATGCTGGAATGTCAAAATTTTGGAAATCTATTTTATTGCACTAAACTAACCTTTATATATCTATACATCATGCTATGCTGTTATTTTCCTCATTTTCAATGTTTAAAATAACAATTTTTAACAATTTGGTGATGGTTTCTGCCTAAGAAATGCCTGAAATCGTAAACATTAAAGGCTGATTTCTCAAATATTGTTCTTTAAACAGCTGTATGTTTAAACTTGTGTAACTTCATAACGAAGTGTCGGATTTAAATGATTCTTTCACCGTTTTATAGCTCTCATTTTACTGTTTAACCCTGTATTAATAACTAAAAATTTATTTTTCCGACGAGTGACTGGTTTGGCTTGTCTTTGCCACAAATGGTGAAGTTTCCTCGTGGCAAAATTGTGCTCAGCAATCTCATTAGTGATCTAACAAATATTTTCTGTAAATTGCTCGCCAAGTGCACATGGGCCTAGGCCTATCCCCACAAATTGTCATTACATATGCTACTATTCTACACAACAGTTAAGCTTCGCCTAGCCTAGGCCTAACAGTGATACACCTATTCTAACATAAAATAATATTAATAAAATAGGTAGGCCCTAGGGGGGTGCGGGAGGGGTCCCGGGCCGGTGCGGGAGGGGTCCCGGGCCAGAGCTGGAGCCCCGGCGGAGGTCCAGGGCCTCTGGCGCTTCGACGATCGCGATCTCAGCATTTTAAAGCTGTTTTAAAACAATTTCGGGGAGTGTTTGTTGACAATTAATACTGGGTATACTTACTGGGGGCCCGGGACTTGTACAATTGACAAGTGCATTATGACTATGTTTAATTTGAGCACCCGAATATCTATGTGCACAAACATTTCTTTACCTAAACAAAAATGAATAGGCATACTGATCAATATTTAGTAACGTGTCAGTGAATTAAATATTCATGTATTCAAGTTACTGCATGACCGTTTTTATATTTTTAATAAAACCAATTTCTTCTAATTTTAAATACATTTTACCATATATTCGTTATCACGCATTGACCTGTGCTAAATGCGTGATAAATTTATGATCGCGCATGTGTTTCTGCAAAATGCGTGTTTCATCCAAAATCACTTTGAAATGCGAGACGGTTGGTAACTATGCTTGTATTCTCTCTTAAGTATGAACATATGGAAAGCCTAAAGTAACAAAATAAAAAGCTAAAAAATGTAAAGAGAATAGAATAGGCCTACCTACACCTACGTCAATCTTGTGTGCTAGAGATGAGATTGAGTGAGTGTCTATTTAATGTTGAATTTAGTATTGCACCTTTGTAACACCAAATTATAATATAAAACTAATGTATAGCGCACGCCATCTATCCATTTCCTAATATTAACAAACAAAAATCTATGAAGTAAATAAACCATCTATTACCTCCCGTATTTTCCTGGGCCGTTTTCTCATTCGGGTGTCAGCCATGTTTACGAAATCGACGATGTAGGTAATTCCCGAACTGAAGAGGGCGGTATGTCCGTAATTTATAGTTTTTATTGACACACAAATTGTATTATACAGTACCGGTAATGTAGTAAAAATTGTAACGTAGGCCTGCACAACAACTTCGAATGACATGAAAACTAAAGGCTATATTCTCTTCAAAATATATATAAAAAAAATATACAATTAAGTTTACCCCAAATTTATACAATTAAGTAATTTCATGTAGGCCTAAGTATTTAGTATTTATAAATATGAAAAATTTTCACGGGAATGAGATGTGATAAATTAATTATTTTCATACCAGTTTTCATTTCATATATTATATGTTTGCCCTTCCCAATCAATAATAATAATAATAAACAACAATAATAATAATTAATAATAAAAATAAAAATAATAATAATAGTAATAATAATAATAATAATAATAATAAATAATAATAATAATAATAATAATAATAATTAATAATAATCGTAGCAGTACGTATACTTCATTTAGTATCATAGGAATATTACTAGGCCTATCAATAATTTTATCAATATCACAGCCCATATAATTGTTGATAGGCCTATCATCTTCAATATTATTATTATTATTATCGACATCAATCATCATCATCATCATCATTATCCTCATTATTATTATTATTATTGGTAAATATTGTCGTTGTACCTTATAAAGAAAGAAAATCTGTAAATAAATTATGTTATGCACTGTCTGTCGGACAGTTAAGTACCGTATTTATTTGAATAAACGCCCTGCGTTTATTGTTCAGAAGGGTTTTTATCTGAGGGGGTGTTTATAATAGAGGAAGCCGTTTATTAAATTTGTTGGTGTATGGATACGTAATTATACTCAAATAAATGCTCAAATAAATGTCGCTTAAATTCACTGTATGTGTACTTGTAATAAATCTGGTGGCGGAATGGTGGGAAAGCAAGTAACGAAATATGATGCCATGCTATCCGTTTCACTAAAAAGTAACAACAATATGGTATGTACTTGTACAGTTTATTCTAGTGTGAAATGCCAACACACAAAGCATGAGCCAAAAAAAAAACAAAAAACAAAAAACAAAACAAAAAAAACATGTTAAGCACTAGACACAAGCTCCCACTGGGAGTCTATTTTTTCGATCTGCTTCTGTGGAAGTAACTAATTTACCGTAAATGCTCGAATAAGCGCCGCGGCGCTATAATTTCTGGAGAAAGCGGCGCTTATAAAAAAAATATTGGCGTGGCGCTTTCCGTGCCCTTTCCCATGTTACCTATTTCACATATTCCCACAGTCTATCAAAGGTCCTATCATAAATAAACGTCATTTTAACACTGTGTCATTGTATTTAAGGCCTATTTCAATCTTAAAGTGTTTCGTCTACACACTGAGGTTTCTCTCGATTAAGCGCTTTTATTCGAGAGCGGCGCTTATTCGAGCATTTGCGGTATTGGTTCCTTTCAAAATGAGCTATTTTGATGGGTTTTATTTATGTTTTGTGTGTTGTAAATTGTCGTGTCAACAATAATAATAATAATAATAAAATAAAAACACACCACGTCAATGAATCATGTCAATAAATAGCGGTATATGTAAACAAACATACACGCAACTCTCACACCGTGTTTTGGGTCAATGTACTATTCACTCAGGCCTGCATGCATGCAGCGTACATTATTCTCGATAGGAATTTCCCTCGCGAGTAGTACTGTTAGTAGTAGGGCATTCGGAAATTCTTCAGAACTAGGCCTAGTACGTTGTCATTAATCCAGTCCGAATGCACTTATTAAATCTAAACACTGGTCATAATACTGTGATTTTGGCTTATTAGTTTTAATATAATGTTGCTTCGATCCAGATTTGATGTTTGTTTCACTAAGTGTTGTTTTAAACCATGAATTTTGGCCGAAAAAGTGCAAGGCATGTGCTAGTTTTTACTGCGGCTGTTCATCTAGTGTTGTGCTGGAGGCATGCCTGCTCAGCGACTGTTGATGAAGGGTATACTAAATTGGGTAGGTGCTCGTAGGCCTAACCTAGGCCTAGGCATCGTAAAGATTTTAGTGTATGAAATGCAATGGGCGTCGAAATTTAAGTTTCTATTTTTTATTGATGTTGTATACAGTTTGTGAATGTCATAATGATGAGGTGGTTCAGAGCTCACTCACTGTGTTGATATTGGAGGTGGTGGGGGACGTGGCGTGGGTGGATGCGTCCCTGTGGGTAGGATCTGGCAGATCTGGGAAAATGTGTGTTTGTTTTTTGTGGTTTTGCTTAATCTGTTAAATTGTTTGTTTGATTTGTTTAGTTTTTGTTTTCTCCTTTTGTTCATGTTTGAATTTTACATGGGTGGGTGGGGGGACATAGCAGCCCAAAAATGATATGGGTTTTGAGTCTCAATAATATACATGGACCTGAAATGTGAAAGCAGGGAGGTTTAAAACATGGGGATGTATGTCTATTTTTTTGTTTACTTAAGTTTTTTTTTATATGCTTGACCAGGCTGTAAAGTAAGTCCTGCGCAAGAAATTTATCATCTGCGCAAAAAATATAAATCCGTGCACATTTCGGAAAATAATGAGGGCCAATTTCTGCACAGATTTTGCCGAAAATTTGCCTGTGATCTATTCATAATATATAACCAATGTATTGTGCAGTAGTTACGATTCAGTGCACCTATTTTCCTTGCAATTTTCCTCGCAAATTTTAGCTAGTTTTTTAGGTATCTCTGCAATTAAAAGTCTTGACAGTAGGCCATACATGGACTTAAAGTTTGATGCAAATTTTTGATGTACCTGAGGTTTTTACTGTAATTATCAGATGATGTGTTTATTTTTCCCTCTTTTATAGGTAACTCTGTGTCACTGATCCAAGGCACAACCAGTCTGAATGGCTACTTAATGATAAGGACGAATGACTTTGGTTGGCTTCCGATTTGCAAGAGCAACTGGGCATCGCACTACTCCAAAAATGCAAAAGTGGCCTGCCGCCAACTTCAGCTAGGCCTGCCAAAGGGATCCTTGTTCTGGAATAGTAGCCTAGAAGCGTCTGTAGCACCTGAGTTTGTGTGCTCTGGACATGAAGTTTGCCTTCAAAACTGTCAATATGATGAGGCTACCATCGGGAATTGCTCAAAGGATGGACAGCTATGGCTTGAGTGCTCAGGATTTGAGGGTATGTGTAGGTGGTTCAGTTCAGTCCAACTTTATATAACCATGGAGGTATTATTGAGAAGGAGATCACTCGAAAAAGCTACGCGCACGCAGCGCTATGCAAATGAACTAAGATGAAAGCTGCCGCAGCGCGTAAAGAACGTTTGCGCGATGCCTTTGAAGTCTCATGTGTTCCCCGCCATCAAATTTTCAGCAGGCATAGTTTACCAAAAAATTGAACATGGCGAAATGGAGAGCACCTTCTTTTCTCGATGCGCACTACATACAGTCAATCACTATGGCTGCGCAATCGTTTCCATTTTGAAGCTGATACATTTATCTCTCATAAAATATCAAACATATTAATATTTTCCACCAAAAAAAGTTTCGAATTTAATGGAAGATTTACATGACCTTTAAAAGTATAGTATACTTCAACTTCAATTTCCATAAATTGGCCAGAATTCGCTAATTCTAATTTTAACAGATATTAATTAATAAATGATTGAGGATTATAATAAACTAAGTCATTTTTGGGTTAACGAGGGTTAACTATTCGAAAAATCAATCCAAAATCTGAGTATTTTTCAGTTTTACGCTGACTTAGCTTTATAGTCGAATCGTTAGACAAAATTATAATGAACACAGAAGTAATTTTAACATAAATATTTTACGGAATCCGTTCCTGAAATATAGAAATAATAACATACCAAAAGTCCGAAAAAATCTAATCAGGGGAACACTGTTCATTATAAAGATATTTAATGGGTTAAAATCAAACGCTTTATTGCACAACTGCTCTGCTGGAAGCGTATAAATGCATGTCGTTGCCAAGTTGTTGCTAACAAAAAAATGTGAATTATAGGGTAATACGCCCGCGCGCGATGCAAAAGCGGAGGACACATGGGTTTGTCGCGTCAAAGGGAACTGTTGCTGAGTGATCTCCTTCTCAATAATACCTCCATGATATAACCATGGAGGCCCCGATCAACACAGGATTGTTCTTCCCTGGGTTGTGCAAAAATACAAAATTATACAAAATGACAAAAGTTCAATATAAATTATGAAAATAAATAAAAATAACATATAATAAATCATAAATGCATAAACAAAATGTTGCTGCATATTGTATATTTAAGGTAAGATTATTCCATTGTATTATTATTAGCTCCTTTGTAAGATAAGCTTAGCTTTTTTATATCCACTCTTTGGTAAAGCCTGGCAATATAACATTTGAATGGTCTAAAGTTGTAATAAAGGGACTATTTCTAAAGCGAGGGCTTAGCTTTTTGCTGTTAGCCCTTTTGTGCAGTGTCTTCAATTGAAATATCTCACTATACTGAGCTATAGAATACTTGTATGTGAACAAAATTACTTTGTAGTCAGCAGAGGGCAGCAAACATTATGAGTCATCAAACCTGGAAATAATTATAGATTGACATTATAATATAAAATATAAAATAACTTCACAATCTTTTTATCGATAGTCAGAATTGTTCGTGTCTGTATTGCAAGCAATAAAATATGGAAAACACAAGAACATTAGATTTCAAATTCTATTTTTAGAAATCAAATTACGATTGGCCATGAGGGAGAAAGTCGAGCAAGGTCGTGTAGAAATATATCATAATGGACGCTGGGGGACCATTTGTGACCGGGACTGGACGATATCAGATGCGAACATTGTCTGCAAGACTTTCCTAGGCACACATGCTATAGATGTGTACAAAAGCACACAGGACGATCATGAGGACGGCCATCCCATCTTTATCTCGGACATCACATGTACTGGAAAGGAAGACACGATATTGGATTGTTCCTTCAATGGCCTAGAAGACGTGCATGATTGCTCACATATAGATGAGGTGTGGGTAGACTGCGAAACCAGTAAGTCAACATTTCACCTATTTGATAATGCAAGATAATGATATAACCCTATCTAGAAACTTATAGCATAATAATTACTGCTGCATTTGGTAAATACCATTCAAGGTGCTGTTTTACATTGAACGAGTGATCTCATGCAAACATTAACCTTAAACTTAACCCCTCCAAATGTAAAAGTATGGTTTTCAACTTCCAAAGAAACCAATGCCAACCTGAACCCCTTTTAATTGGTAATACCCAAATTGAAATTGTTGAAGAAACAAAGCTGTTGGGGCTGTGGATACAAGATAACCTTAAATGGAATTGTAATGTCAAAAAAATAAAGCAACTGGATGTCTGCACATGTTATGTAGGTTAAGGAAATTCAATCTACCAAAGCATGACCTTGTTGAAGTGTATAAGCGTTACATAAGACCAAGTGTTGAGTATGCCGTACCTGTTTGGCATTCAGGTCTTACTGTACAAAAAGTAATATGATTGAATCAATTCAAAAAAGGTTTTGCAGGGTAATGTTAGGCCGCGAGTACATAGGTTATGCCCAGTCGCTCAAGGAGCTTTCTTTAGGAAAATTACCTCAAAGTAGGTACAATCCCTGCTGCAAGTTTGCCCAGAATTGGTTTAATGTTGCTAAAAAAAGCAATATGGAACTTAGAAGAGTGAGGTATCCACAATGTAGAGTGGAAAGGTATCGAAAAACTGCATTAGGCCTACCATTTCTTATTTCAATCCTAAATGAATGATTTTGACTTAGCTGCAATAATAATTAGAACTATTATAATAATAATTATAGTAATTTATAGATAATGATAATAATAATAATTATAATTAATATTTGCGAGTCGAATAGCCGAGCAGTAAGGCAGGGGCGCCGCTAGCTACAGCCTTAACATCGGCGTTAGTTCCAGCCGCTCCTCGCCAACGGTTCGGTTGGTAGAACCAAGTCTTCTCGGATAAGGACTTAAAATGGTGGTCCAGTGTATACATCTGGCTTGTGTGCACTTTAAAGAACCCATTGCATCTTTCGGAAGAGTAGGGGGTTACCCCGATGTTATGGTTCATTACAGCCCCTGTCGTTGTCGAATGATGTGAACATGTATCTACCAAGAAGCGCCTCTTTATGGCTGCTAGGTAGTCACGGACCACGCCCACACGCAATTCAGCACAATGACGCTGCAAGTTATGGGTTATTCTCCTACCTTTACCTTTATTGATGATAATAATTAATAATTATATTAATTATTAGTTATTGATTGGTTGTTGCTGTAATTATTATTATTAATTATATTAATATTAACTATTAATTCATAATAATTATTATAGTAATGACTGTTACAGTATATGAAATTAATATAACAATGAAAATAATAATTAAATAAATGCATTACAACAAACATAAACTTAAAAAGTTATTGGTCCATTTTAAATGACATGTATTCATTTTATTTGTTTATTTCTGTATTAAATGATGGTCCTTTTTTATGTCGCCTTTTTCTTTCCCAATTTTGATGTAATTTTTATGGTAACTGAATTTTGTGCAATGATTGGATGATTGTTTTTTCATTTCGTTCTTGAATTAGTATATTTAATAATAATAATACTAATAATAATAATAATATAATAATAATAATAATTAATCATATAGTAATAATAATGATTCAATGATTAATAATAAAAAAAAACAATTAGTTTTATTGCATACAAGTTTTTTAAACTGTTGTGTACTTCTGATGTTTAAAATTTTGAAGTATTTAATGTTAGACTTTTATCTCCATTTTCCATGTCTTGTGCTTGAGTTTGATTGATGTTTTGATAATTTATTATTTTTCTACATATAATTCAGCCTTGGCTGTGATTTTGAATTGAATAAAAGAAACCGTAACTGAAACAGAAACTATTTCCCTCCACCATCTACTGTAGGTTGTTTAAACAATATATTTTTATTGCACTGATGTATGCTGTGGCACCCAATGCTTTTCAATTATGTATAGTTTTGTTGGATTCAGGTAGTCATATGTGGAGTTTAATATACAGTATAAATATAAAGTTGCCGATGGTAATATATAGCACTTCATGTGAACTTTAAAGTGTTTCACATTAAACGGCCGTTTATATTGCAACGATAAAAAGCAATTGTTCATATAAAAATTAAAAGAACTAATGAAAGTTTTTACACTAGAATGATTCGATAAAGACTTGTCGTATACACGATAAGCAAATATTGTGACAAATCAATTTAAATGATGTCATAATCATGGAAAACAAGAAAATCATAGTAGTAACAATTATTTTATCGTTTTTGCATGATTATGATGTCATTTGAATTGATTTGTCAAAATATTTTGTTATCGTATACACGATAACTCGTTATCGAATTGTCCCAGTGTAAAAATTTCTCCTATCTCTTTTATCTTTTATATGAACAATTGCTTTTTAGCTTTTTATCGTTATCGTTATCGTTGCAAGTATAAACAGGCCTTAATACCCTCTCGGCCATTGGATTGTCGTCGTCATGAGGAGAGCCCCTCGACAGTAGATTAATTTTTTGCTTTCGGGCAATCCTGCCACATGACAACAACAACTATTTTTTTATATACTTAATAATGGTGCAATAAATGAAATGAAAGCACATACAGTATGGAACACATACTCTTGGGGAGAATTCCATAAGGTTGCAGCTGTAATTGGCACATTTGTGTTGTGAACCTACCAGGTACCCACTTGTACTTTTTGGTAGAGAGACAACAGTAGTTAAAAATACCTTGCCCAAGGACACAAGTGAAATGCACAGTAAGGGATTGAACCTCCGACCTCAAGATTAAGAAACAAAACCACTATGCCAAGCCACTCCTGCGTAATCTGTGCTTGAGATTGTCCTTATTGAGAACTGAGGATTCATTCTACAGATTTTTAAATATTCATTTCTTGGTTACAGATGTTGTCATTGCTGGAGGACAAAACATGTCGGCGAGTTGGATTACTGCCCTCAGCATGGTTGTCCTCACGCTCTTGCTAGTTATAGAGTACCTTGGCTTGCGTCGGTACCAACGTTGGAAGGCCGACCGCCGTGCCAGACGTCAGAACATGCATGTCAGATTTCAACGGCTCTTGCCAGGAAGACCCCATGACACTCAAGATGATCAAATAAGTATTAGAGGTGCTGGTGTTGAGTCCCCAGCACATAGGACTAGATTTTTATTAAATGACGGCCAACCTGTTGCACCGAACAACAGTATATTAATAAATACAAACCCCTCTCAAGTAATGGAAGAACCCCCACCACCTTATTCCAGTACGCCTATATTACAGAATGGAATGAACGTTTTAAATGAAAACTCTGGTACGACATCGGTAGAGCTTCAACAGCAAGAATCAGGATTCTCCTCTGTAACGTAACGAAAGGAGCTGATACAAAAAAAAAAGGGTTGTCTTAAGCCGGGCAGTCACTGCATTGTATGACGTTCGTACAACGGATCCACTCCGTTCCCTGCGAGTGCTAGACGACGTGATGCCATCTGCTGACTGTCAGTAGAAGTCTGAACGGATCATAATTAAAACGATTTGTTGCGCGCGCGTTGTGGCATTGCGTTCTTCGTAGAATCGTGTCAGCTGGCGACTGTCGGCTGTAGTGATTGCTGGGCTTTATTCGGTATATAATATTTATTATGATTCGTAGGAAATATATTTTTCTATATAAATAAAATACATTTGAAGCAGCCAACATTACAGGGTATGAAAAATATATGTGGTTATTATAAATAACAGTTGACATTGTGTGTGTGTTTTTGAGCTTATTGTATAGTTAGTGAACTATGTATACCTAGTTTGAATAAGGGATTGTTCACATACAGTGTTCTTCTGAAATCTATTCCATCTGGTTTGCAGAAAATTACCTGAGGTCAATCCTAAAATATTCTTTTTTATATTTTATAAGAAGATAAGAAACAGTTTGTGTTTTTTTTTGTTTTTGTTTTTTTTGTTTTTGGACATACATTGTACATCATGTACTGTACTACATATTTTATATATTTGAATAATATAAAGCATAACAGGAGAAGAATCTTACCAAGATTTAAAAAAGAACTCAACCACCATCGGGACTTAAACTTGGCATCTTGCTGATATACTGATTTCCATCTAATTAATGACCCCTCCAATCAAAACCCAGCAAACACCAAGCCACATCTATAAAAGCACAACAACATTCACAAACACTCACATTTTGCAGTTGATACGATGCAGCTGAGATGAAACTGATATTGGTGGATATGAGATAAATGTTTTTTTTTTTTTTTGTATTAAAATAAGTATAAACTGTACTACAAAGCAGCAATATAGAAGGCAATATAATAACAATTATAGTACCGTATTAATTTGAATAAACTCCCCAGGGCGTTTACTGTTGAAGGGTTATTAAATGGGGGGTGTTTATTCAAGGGCGGCGTTTATTTTTGTTGGTGTCCCTTAATTTTACTGTAAATGTTGAACTACAACATTATAATTACCGCCAAAATGTGTTATTGCGTGATCGTAAAGAAGATATAACCAGGATAGATAAATGTAATTCTGCTGGAGTGGAACATTAATAGAAAGTGTTAGGAATGATGTTGCATCCGTTAGTTTTGTTTAGTCATTTGGTGGGGTGGGGGCGTTTACTTGAGGAAAAAATAAATGATGGAGGTGTTTATTCCAAATGAGGATTTGGAGGGGGATATTTATTAAAAAGGGGGGGCCCCCGTTTATTTGAATAAATACGGTATTAATATTGTTGCAGTATTTTGTACCATTTCAAATGAATGTAAGCATTCCCAAATTATGATCATATATATTGGTAAACAGTGTATTTTGTACCATGCACATGGGTGTGTATGTGAAACATTGGGCGGGGGAAGCCCTTCTCATTTATAAATTGTTTGAGCTTCCAGAGGGCTTGGCCCTGGACCACTCTCCAAAGGGTTTTGGGTGACCCCCTAGCCCTACTCAGTGCGTAACTGGTACATTGGTGTTATCAATTACTTCGAAGTATAGAGTCTATATATTGTAATATATTTGGCATTACCAGGAATTGAGACATGGGATTTTCTATTACAGTAATTGGTATTATCTGTTATTTAAAAAAAACTGAATTTACTAAGTAAATGTTTTGTGTCATGAAGCAACTAAACTACTGTTCTGAAAAAAATACATTTATGATGAAATTATATGTAACAAAATTTTTTTTAAGTATTTAATTTTAAAATTGTATTATATTATTTGTAATACACTTAATTTTAACTATTAAATTATGATTTACTATGACTTGATAATAGTGTGCTTTTGTGATCTTAGTACAAGATATTGCTATAACTGGTACCAAGCATACTATTACCGTAGTTTGTCTGGTGTAAGCTCACCTCCTTGAAACACAAAATTGGGCCACTTTTGGGTGATACGAGGAATCCGCTTTTTATTCAAATCACAAGTTTTCATAATTCAAAGGGAATATTTGTAAATACCCTGAGCTTTTGCCCGAGGGAAGGCTGGTACGTAAATTAGGGCATAAAGTGGGGGCGGGCTTATACCTGAGTAACTACAGTATTTGTTATGGATATTATTAATCATGATTACTATTATGACTGCAGTGATTATCATAATTATTAGGCATAAGAATTTTAATACTTGTTACTTTTATTGTTTACAATTTAGGCTTGCAATTTTCTTTAAAAACCCACAGAAAATTGTTTTGTTTAATTTTGCTGAAGAAAAAAGTGAGCTGTATCGCACAAGAAATATTGACAGGGTAATTAATAGTATTAATAATTTATTTCACATTGGTCATATGTTTGAACATTTATAAATAAGAATTTACAAGAACTAGTTGCGTGATTTTATTTCCTTCGTCTAAATGCCAAGTAACTCGCAAATAAAGAATGGAATGATACTTTATAACCTAAAACCCGATTTACACGGTAAATTTTACACTCATCCCGTTAATTTGCGTCCGTGTGAATTATCTGTGTTAAATTAGCATGTCACGTGTAACATCCATCTTAAAAAACGGACATCAGAGGCCTGTAACGCTCCCGTAATATTTACCATGATCAGTGATGTATCTAGGGGTTCGCACCTAAAAAAATGATCACACCTCCCCCTCGCCATTGAAAATGTTAGACACGGCTAAAATTTGCCTTATATTGCGACCCCATCAGCTCCTCCCCCATTTCAAGCTCCCTAGACACACCACTAATCATGGGAAGCAGCAATTTGGCGTTGCACATCTTCATTGCCTATGCATATCTATTGTTGATTGTCGACAAGGTTTTAATTCACTCGTTTGGAAAGAAAATTTGCTTAACATTGTGTCTATGAGGCTTGGAGTCGAGGTTGTACATGATTATTTGGACTATATATTTAGCATATAATATTAAAACAAGGCCGATCTTCTTGGACCATCATTTATCCATGACAAATCTCTTTGAGAGTTATATTCTTTATTCTTTAAATAAAAGACAAACATCTTATCACCGACCAAAAAGATATAGTGAAACAATGTTACCTTGTTTAGCGAACCCCGCCCGCCAATAATATTAAATGATTTTGAATAAAAATAAAATTATATATTTGGCCAAATAGTGCACTGCCGCCACAAAGAATTAGAAATTTCATTAAAAAAAAGAGGTTTTTAAAATTTTTATTACGTTCATCGCTACCTTGAAATCTCCAAAAATAAGATGTATATTTCTTCCTAATTATATAAATTTAAAGTATTTAACCATCACTGTTTATAATCACCATTAAAATTATATTTTTATTTTCCCTTCCGTCCGGTTGGCAAAACATTTTGCTAGAAAAGAACACAATTTTTTTTCCCGCCCACCTCCGATGATCTTTAAAAAACATAAGTTCGCGAAACAGGGTATATAAAAAGTCTCATCTAACCACAAAAGAATATAGAACTAAAAAACATTTGATGGAGATGCTTTTATTGAATAGGCAATGAAGCAAAACTAAAAAAAAAAGTTAAAGTTACATAAACAAAAACATCAACACACATACAGTTATATTTGTAATTATTCAATATTTCATTGAAACTAAACTATTTTCAGTCTCGTTAATATAAATTCCCTTTTAATAATCAAGAAAGAAAAGAAGACATCTTGGCAAAATTCTTAACAAAATCAACTGTGATTTATTTGCTTTTGTGCAGAATTTATACCTCAATTAAAATAATTAAAACCTATAATTAAAAATCAATGGCATTTTAATAGTATTGCAATTTATAAAATCCTATGCCTATTGCAACATTCGTGGAATATAAATCTTGTATATTTTGAAAAATGTTACCAGATGTTAAGTTGTACTTTTTTTATGTAATGTACCTATCTGACTAATTTTGAATGTACATGTCCTGTTTTTATATATGAATGTATTGAATTGTTTTGACAACTATTGTAATATCCAATCTATTATAGTATGATTGTAATAAAGATGAAATTAAATTTGAATTTGAAAAAAAAGCAGCAGTTCTCAAACTAAGGGTTGCAACTCCAAATTGGTTCACCAAATAAATGAGTGTGTTATGAGTTTCTTTTAAGATTGAAATTGAATTTTACATCATTCATCATTGTAGCAAAGATCGTGCATTCTAAGTATTATTTAAACATTTTACTTCAATTTTGCTTACATGTACCTAACGTTGCGGGAGGTTGTTCAAGGCAATTTGCCTACACGTCTGTTTGGGGTCATAAGCCAAGGAGTCTGAGAATCCTCAGTATATAGCGACAATACTGTGGTATTTAAGCAGTGGTCTTGGCCGCAAAATTTGGGGAAGAGAGTTTACCTGTGAAATAACTTCTTGAATTGTTACATATTTTAGGAGGATATTTCACAGGAACACTGGAAAGATTTTGTTATTACCCTAGATTTTCGGGTTTTTTAAGGCAAGATCATGCTTCAACACCAAAGCATCGTTACGGTGCTTATTCTAGACCAGCGCTTATTACAAAGTACTCAAACCTTTTCTTATGGTTGTTAACATGTTAAGAAAAGTAACAATATTTGGGGCTTGCCATGCCAATACCAGCGTAAGTGACCCAACCAAGAAAATTGGTGTTTTATTATACAGTAGTCTTACAGTATTCTCCACAATATATGATTTAAAATGAGTCACTTACTGGAATTGACTTACTATTGCCCAAGTTATTATAGCTAAAGTATACAGTACTAAACCTCTATTATGCTAATTACTCATTTAGTGAAAATACACTGGTGTTAGGATGACAAGCCTCATTTAAATTAAGTTACTTGTCAACAGTCCCAACTATCAATAGTTAAATTTCAATAAACAATACAGCAGTTTTCCTGCACAAAAAATGTCTGGAAGCTGATATTTTGATTGGCTTACATTTATACATAATATATTAACAAATAGTTCACTACTGTAATTTTAATACGTAAGCACAAATTACAAGTTACCAATAACATCATAAGAATCATAAAATTTATTTACTTGGTATTTCAATATTAATAAATAATGTAATTTAGTTGACTACTGGAATATAAACACAAGCTTTATAATGCAAGGGGCCCAAATTTTCTGAAGGTGCTCAAAGTCTCCTGTAAATCGGGACGCCCTCCCACACTCCTGCAAGCATGCACCAATTTTCTAGAAAATGACTCATCTTCTTCAAATTCCTAATATTTGCATATTTTTACTTCTGTACTACATTAATTTTTTCGCATAAATCGGTGACGATGAGTGTCACAATGTGCAGGAAAATAAAATTGAAATGTGTTAAATGGGAACTAGGATATTTCTTTTGGCACTTTTTTTATGTAGTTATTACAATTTACCCCTTCAGCTGTGTGACATTAGTATAAGGTACTGTAACCAAAAATTGTATAGTGCCGCGCACAGCACTACATGCGGCGCTATAGGATCTTTGGTTACAGTAGCTTACACTGACGTCGCCCTGCTAAAGGGAAAAATTGCAATGGAGTATAACTTCATAAAATAGCTAAAAAATGATTTTAAAGTTGATTCTATTACTAGAGACATATCAAACATCCTCTACGAAGAAAGAATCATCTTTCTAGTTTTCTTTTAAGAAATCTCAGTTATCCTGATCTCCAGGAAGCAACTTCTTCCAACTTGGGACCACTGATACTGTGTATATGAATTACAAGTACATATTGGTTGTACATTAATAATATAATTACATATAAAATATTAAACCTGAAAGCATTCTGTATAAATTAAAATCGTCTTGAAAAAAAAAATCAGTACATTGAGTTCGGAAACTGCCTAAAGACTATAAATATAATAATTAAGATTAATTAGTGCGAATAAAAACATTCATACTTATTTCAAAATTAATTGATGGTTTGAATTAAGAAATTGCCGAAAGACTAAATGTAATAATTAAGATTAATTAGTGCTAATAAAAACATTGATATTTATTGTAAAATTATAAATTAATTAATGATTCTGTATAAAATTTACTTTGTCAACATGCTTTATATTTCAAATTACTAATCCTTAGTGAGTTTACAAATGAAACATATATTTTAAAATGACATTAATGTGATAGAGGTTCCTCAGATTTTCAAAAGAATTTTCTAATCAAATACAAATATATGATCATACTGTATATGGTCTGTTAGTCAACTTAAAAAAAAAAACACACCCTTCACTGCATAACATCTATACCACTAATAAAGTCCTCTCCAAGACTACGAAATTTTATTTGACAAAAACATGTGACATGCCTATATATGGTCATGATGACATCACATCATGACCATATATAGGCACATCATGACTATATAATTGGCATACAACAGTTTTTTGTCATGAAAATTTTATAATCTGAACAGTGCTTCACACAAGAAAATAAGTACCGAAAACAAAAACCAGAAAAAAACGAGGAGTCGACGTACTACTGAAAAGGTAACGCTTGTTAAGATAACAGATTTCACAATTGTGATCAATATGATAGCTTAAATGTACTTGTTTAATGCAATTAAGAATGAACAATATGGATGTCAGTTGAACTTGCCTAAGTCGAATCCAAAATGCCATTGAAAAAATGTTTTCGACTTCGATAAAATTTGACTTACAGATTGTTAATTAATGGAAAACACAACAATTTGGCATGTAAAATAAGTTCGACTTAGAAATTATTTGAGTTAGGCAAAGACGACTTAAGGCAAGTTTAACTGTATATTAAAATAACTGATTCACAGAAAGGAAAAGAGCATCCAAGAAAGGTTGCCAGGCAACTGTAATGGGCCTTTGTGCTAAACCCCACCCCTTAGAAACTGTTGTTATGGTCCCACAAAATGATGAATATGCATGTGTCTCACAAACACACACATGCATATTCCATTCCCTGTTCTGATTGGTCAGTTGTTAATTTTGATTGAAACTTTGGAAAGGTCCATTTTCCAGATAACTGTATCTAAAATTTTGATTACATATTCTCAAATGGCCATGTCTTGTCTGTCTGCAAGATATATATATTATCCATTTTAATTAATTTCTTGCACAAACTTTACTTGAAATTTACACATTCACTTGCCCATGAACAAATTGTTTTAAAATTAGCTTCCAATTTGTGAGTACATCCGTGACTATTCAACTGTGACCAAATCTGCAAATTGTGACTGGTTTTGTACATCAGCTTTAAGTAACAATAATTTGCAAGTGTATACTTAAGTTATTAGAGTACATGTAATGCCTTACTTAAGTAAGAATAAAATTACAAGAAAACCCCCAAATTTTACCAAGAAACCCATAAAAAACATTAACCACATTTAGACATGTAATAAGAATATAGTTTCCAATCACAAGACAATACTACCTATCATTAAACAACTTGTTCATTATAATAAAGTCATTTCATTTTATTACAACCCATTTCTAAAACATCTACAATATCAACACAAAAACGCACACAAGCTAGAATTCCCATAATTTTTTGAATACGTAAACTGCACCTTTGCGGAATGTAAATAATGGTAAGGAGCACTGAATGGCAAGGTAGGTTGTTGATTCTTAATTCCACTAAATTCTATTACATGTAATACTAGAGTAGAGTAGCACCTGAATAGATCCTTGTCATTTGATTGGTGAATTTCGTATCACATGACATTGGTTATTTACACTATTTCATCAATTGTCATTTAATTTAAAATTTAGTTTTCCATCCATGTTCCATCATTTTGTCCCATTGCATGCCTCAACTTAAATACAATCGTTTTATTGGTTAAAAAGGGCAAGGATCTATTTTAGGTGTGTTTATAAAAGACATACCGTAATGAAATTTTTTTTTATTCGTGCAATGGAACAAATATTTCCATTCTTTGAAAAATGGACTGTTCTATTTAACTTGGCTCCGCCTCAGTGAATGGAACTGTCAATCTTTCAACTTACACAAATATTCTTCCCATTGTACTTGTACACTTTTCAATGCTTATGTATTTTCTATTAGCTTTCATATTTCCTCACTTAAGTTTGATGTTTTTATATTTGACATGACAACACACACTGTTATAAGGATGCCATGTCATTGCACACACTGGGGACGGTACCCACTGTACCATTATGGTACCTAGTTCACCAACATATGGTATTATGGTACCCACTGTACCATATGGTACCTAGTTCACCAACATATGGTGCTGTACCACATCATCAGACCACCGTAAAATAATTTACCATTTACTATATCATGGTAAATACAAAATCAACAATTACCGTGTAATACCTAGAACAACCATGCTCAATATTATATACTTGTACTGTACAAACTCATGCTATACTCTGTAAAATAATTATACTTTACCAGGTTAAACCATGGAGGAATTAGTTTAGCTGTTATATTGTATGTTATATAATGTGATAAAATTGTATCAAGGATAAACTCCTACAGCAGACTAGGTTAATATATGATGCCACTTGGTACGGTAACATTAAAAGGAATTTTTTAATATAGTATTTTTGCAATTCTAACTTAATAATTAACCTATGTGTATTCTCAGATCAGATGTGACCCAAAATATGCTGGCATACAACTGCAGTGAAGACAACTTTTGTAACATAGGAAATTTGCATAACTGAAACACTAGGTGAAAAGTACTGTAGTTTTGAATTTTTTTTTATTGGAATTGAATTCTCTGGTGAGAATTATTCAACTGCAGCACTCTCTAGGTGTGTACTAACTTCAAGGTTTTCAGCCTAGGCTTCTGAGCAACAAAATGTTCCATATGTATGAAAGCCAGCGAAGTAAGCAGGACACAGTATGTTTCAGCCCCACCATTTTCTTTTTCACTGTAGTTGTAGGCCTATGTATGAAATTGTAGCACTACTGTTGAATCCAAGAACACCAGTTAGTTGGATTAAAAATATTATTTTTATTGTTTCATATTCCAAACACGATTTATATTACTTACATAATTCCCAATTGTAATATTTTTTTTCATTCAAAATGTTTTAAAACCATTATGTTGTTTTCATAATGTTTACATGTACATCAATTACAAATCAATTCTATACAAACTCTATACATATTTTCTCCAGGAACTCAAATTCCATTTGGTTACCTGTTTTGAATTATATACTCCTTCTGACCAAACCTGCAATTTTAAGTTCATGTTTTGTGGAAAACATTTCTACACTATCCTATCCACATTCTAATGAGGCGTGTATGGCTTCTGGAACGAGGATGGCGAGTTTGCAGACTCCACCGGGTTGTTCGAAGGCAATGGTTGGTCAACGTTTTCATAGCCACTAGCAGATGGGGACGGATAGCTGCTGTACTGACCACCACGGTTACGATAGTGCACAAGAATGATGAAACAGCTTATTGGCTTCAGCAAAAGATTAATAATTGCCATGCTAAAAATTGGTTAAAGAATTCTACTAAACATATGATTTTTTATTTCCTCATGACATCTATCACTAGATTCATCATTTTTGACTTATTATCATGTCCACCATTAACTTCAATTTCAATTCTATTCAATTTCTAGTCAATGTAACCTTTATTTCTCTTTTTTCATATATGCACAGCTTTTAAATAAAAAGATAAATATTAATTTCAGAAGATAGGCAAAAACCCAAAAAGCAAAAGCTTGTGAATGGTTGCCTGAATTTAAAAAAATATTGTCAATATATTATAGAGATATTCAGTAAAAAATACCATCTATCAACTTTGTTTATCACAATCATCCACCATAATTCCATTCATCATCAATGTCGATCAACATCATCCACCATCCTGTCCACCATGTTTCACCCTAGATTATTTGCAATCATTTTCCATCCATCTTATCCACACACATCATATCAACCATCAACTTCCCCATCAACCAGCATCAATCAGTTTTACCATTAATCACATTCATCTTCCATCAATTTCCATCCATCACATTCATCAACCATCAATTTCCACCCATCAAATTCATCCACCATCAATTTCGTCCACGATATTCATCCAACATTAATTTACATCCATCACATTCAGTCACCATCAATTTCCATCCATCACTTTCATCCATCATCATCTTCCATCCATCACAGTCATCCACCATCAATTTCCATCCATCACATTCATCCACCATCAACTTCCACCCATCACATTCATCCACCATCAACTTTCGTCCATGACATTCATCCAACATGAAGTTCCATCCATCACATTCATCCACCATCAACTTCCACCCATTACATTCATCCACCTTCAATTTCCATCCATCAGATTCATCCACCATCAACTTCCACCCATCACATTCATCCACCATCAACTTTCGTCCACGACATTCATCCAACATGAAGTTCCATCCATCACATTCATCCACCATCAACTTCCACCCATTACATTCATCCACCTTCAATTTCCATCCATCACATTCCTCCACCATCAATTTCCATCCATCCCACATAAATAACAAAGGATACGCTTTACTGAAGTTCAGTGCGCTTCTATGATAATCTTTAGCAAAGACAAAAACAAATGAAAATGGATTAGCAATTTGGTGGCAAGTAAGGCAAGACCCTGTGGTGGCAAGTAAAGGAAGGATGGGCCAGTGGTTATGTGCAATTTATTATTGTACTATTACAGTACAATGCAGATTCGCAAGAAACTGACCATTCAGGGCCCACTTTGAAACAATACATACAACTGGAACCAAATCTGGTATCTCTATGCATTACAACAATAAATCTATAAAATAAAAAAAATACAGAAAATTTGGAAAGGAAGTAGGTACTGATGAGACAAGGTAGATTAAACAGTAAATGATTAATGCTGGTCTGTCCCCATATGATGGGCCTCTGGGGAACATACTGTAAAACCTCGAATAGAAGCCCAATGGGCTTAATCTCGAGAAGCCCATCTCGTATTGAGGCTCCCTTTTTAGTTTGCAAAAGTAGCCTCGAAAAGAAGCAGATAGGCTTCTTTTTAAGATAACATGGGCTTTTTTTTTCGGGATAGTACAGTACATACACTGTACATGAATTTCAAAGAAATAAATAAATTAAAATCATGCTTGGTTTATACAGCAGTTTAGGTGGTTTAATCAGGGCTGGCGCCAGCGGGGAGCTGTTGCCCCCCAGTCGGGGAGAAAAAGCACAATTCGTCGGGGAGAAAAAAAATTATATGTATTTTCTACATATTAGTAGACTCTAAAATCGATTAAATAAGCCTTTGAAACCCCTACAGTAAATTGTAAAAAATAGTGGTAATTTCCAAAATGTACTGCATTCATTTTGAAAAGAAGTCGCCCTCTTTACTTTGCAAAAGTAGCCTCGAAAAGAAGCTCATCTCGAAACGAAGCCCATCCAAAGTTTGCAAAAAAAAAAAAGATGCCCAGGGCTTCAATTCAAGGTTTTACGGTATACTGAGCCAAGGGTAGTCTGGTGCTAGGTGGTGATAAGCTACAGCACGGTAGAACCAGGTTAGTGTAGACTAGGTATAACTGACTATAAATGACTCGAGTAATATCCGCATATACAGTATGAGTAGTGGCGGTGGCAGGCAGCGGGGGATCCAAGGGGAGCAGGATCCCTGTCAAGAAGAAGTTGGAAGTTGACCATTTTGTTGGGAAACAACTGCTTTCAAAAACCATTTTAGAGTATACTGTGCATATATTCTATGCTGTGGTAGTGGAATTTTTCTGTAAAATGGAATGTGTTAAAGGTTCATTATAGTTCATTTCATTTCACAGGTATGCCAAGTACAGTGTGAACGTAGTTTTATCAGGGAGTTGGTAATTGTTCCTATGTTTTGACAGATGATCAAATTTGCTGATAGCACCTTGTCCAATAATGGACTATGCCATATTTTTAGAGTAACTTTGACCTAGTGTCTGCAGTATACCAATGCTCCTTTGAGGAGTACTATTTTTATAGTCTGAGTGTGTTATTTTTGGGTATTTAAAGGTGCCATTCTTTGTTCCAACCACGGTCGGGCTGTGGATTTTTTATTTCTATTCAGGGACCTTTTATCGCCTTGGTTGGTAACCTTGGACACCTCATCTGGGAATTTTTGGTGCTGCCAAGGGTAATCAACATAAGAAAATACTAGTGTACTTACATCCATCTGCTGAATCGAAAAAGATGCCAAGAAAAATGATATCCATGAGAATGCTAATAACTTGTACGATGAGGTACTGATACAAAAGAAAAAAAGTCAATGCTTATGAATTCAACCATTAATTTGATGTCATAATCAAGGGAAAAACGATAAAATCGTTTTTACTACTAGGATTTCAACGTTTCCCTGTGTTTATGACGTCATTTGATTTGGATTATGAAAATATATTTTATCGTATACACGATAAATTGTTATCGAATCGTGCTAGTGTGAAAACTTCTCTTATTTCTTTTATTTTCTATACGAAAAATCGCTTTTTATCTTTTTAATTGTTGATCATTATCGTCATAGTGGAAACAGGCCTTACAGCAAGCTCATTCTATACTCTTAAAAGGAACAAGTTTGCAATAACTTTAAATTGGGACTCTACAGTAGATTATGCAACATGAACTCTGAACTCTATGTTCCCTTACTGGTTTTGGCAGGGTTATAATTTGCTGCAGTTTTTATCTAGTTTGCCATTTTGCATTTTATTTGAAGTTAGACAATGTATCATTGCTTCTTTTAGTGAGTCCCACTTCAGCGTATTCAGGACATAATCGTCATCACCACAACATCATCAAATGCCAAGCAATAAACTTGCCCATAACTTGTAGTGTCATTGTGCTGAATTGCGTATGGGCATGGTCCGTGACTTCCTAGCCACCGTAAAGAGGTGCTTACATTTGGGTACATATTCACATCATTCGACAATGACAGCGGCTGAAATGAACCATAACATCAGGGTAACTCCCTACTCTTCCGAAAGATGCAATGGGTTCTTTAAAGTGCACACAAGCCAGATGTATACACTGGACCATTATTTTAAGACCTTATCCGAGAAGACTTGTTCCACCAACCGAACCACGGGCGAACCATGGGCGAGGAGCGGCTGGAACCTGTGACCGATGTTATGGATGTAGTTAGCGGTGCCCCAACCTTACCGCTCAACAATCGATTCGCCCAAACCAAAAATACTGCAAGTATCTTACCATTTGTATGCTATCAACTGATTCCGATTGGGCTATGGCCCAGCAACCACAAAACAATATACTCAGATTCATGAACTGGTATGCAACGGGTAAGAACCCGACTTGCCCGGCCCTAGAATTGTCAAAGATATAGTAAACTTCAGTAAGCGATTGTTCAATGACACACCATTGGAAGTTAATAAAGTACCATAAAACCTTAAATAGAAGCCCCATGGGCTTAATCTTGAAAGCCCACCTCGAAAAAAAGCCCCTCTTCAGTTTGCAAAAAAAATCTACAAAAGCACATCTCAAAAAGAATCCCATGGTCAAGATACTGTAATATGTGCTTCTTTCGAGATAGTACTTATATTCAGACTGATGTTATATTTGATTATTATGATAGCGTGACACGTCAGTATTAATATTACTCTACTGTACTAACATCAGTGTTCTCCCCAGGATGAGGGTCAAGCATCATGGTACCTGAACGCAAAAAGATCAAGCATGAACTTGGGCTGATAAACCAACATCGTAAGATAGCATTGTTTTGTGTTTAAAATAATACACACTCACTCTCCTTCAAACTAGGATACATGGACAGCATTGTTGATTTTGAATTATTTTATTGACGATATTTTAAAGCGTCACAGCCAGCTTGGGAGTGTCACGGTGCACGGTGACGAACTCCGAAGCGTCACGGTACCCTGACGCTTCAAGGGCCTGGGGAGAACACTGTAACACGGTTAAAAAAAAATTAAATTTTGAATTCCATAGTTGAAAAATGTCGTACAGTATAGCAGCAGATTCCCAAAATGTACAGGTTTTTTTTTTTTTAAAAGAAGCACCCCTCCACCTTCTCTAGTTTGCAAAATTAATCTTGAAAAGAAGCCCATCTTGAAAAGAAGCCCATCTTGAAAAGAGGTTCATCTCGAAAAGAAAACCAGGGTTTCTTTATGAGGTTTTCCGGTATTATAAATGAATAGTTTTAAAAATGTTTCTTTCACTATCTATAGGTTGTTTTACAGGAGGTTCAAGAATCATAAATGTAATTATGTTTGAATAAGTGGACAGGAGTCATGTTATCAGTACAAATAATATTTTTTTTTTTTTTTTGTAAAAAGGATATGCCCATTCCCCCACCCCCCAAAAAAAGACCAATTTTGTGACGGTAATAAAAATACCAATTATCAATTATCATTGAGAACTTACCATATTGTTAGGACAAAATGTATGATGACTACTACCTGCAAAACAGAAAAAAGGTAATACTTAATAACTTTATATTTATATCTAGAAAAGGTAAAATATGACGTAGTGGTTCATAGCTACGTTCAAAACGTACCTACGAGCGGATTACGAGAGGTTACGCGCAGATACGAAGCGATAATTTGTGTCTGTACTGTACCTGTATAAGAAATATCATATATTTTAATGTGGCCAAGAATTCGATACAATTATTTTAATTTTAGAATGAGAACAGAATACTGATTGATAATTACTAACTATAAGAAAGCCAACATAACATTAAAATAATACCAGTAATTAATGAGCAATTTATGAAGGATTAATAAATAATTTTTGAATACAAACACATTGGTGGTAATGCTGATGAACTTGGTTATAATTAAATTATACCTGACGAAGCCATTAAAACTGTTTCTTATGTTTCAGCCCCAAGTTCAAGTATTTCATGGCTTAAAAATAAAAGTACATTAAAAAATATGTATAAACTGAGGCCGCTATTCATCATCAATAATGCTATTACTATGAGTATTACATGATCGAATTAGAGCACTGGTAACAGCTAATTAATTACTGTATTATTTATTTATTCTATAAAGTGATAGGCCTAGTTCAGACTAGGTGGATAATCCCAGCTGAACTCACCAGGTTTATCCACCTGCCAGTCTGAACTATGTGGCTTATCTCAAGCCGGGCTGTGTTCCTATAGTAACTAGGCCTGGCGCGCCACCGTGTTTTAACTTTTCTAAGCCGGGCTTTAATTGTTGCAGGGTCTTGCATTGACTTCGGGTAACGAAATGACCCATCAGCATTCAATTACGTACGCTGTGAGCGAGCGTACGTTTTGCGAGCAATGTTTTGAAACACGTTTCCTGGTTATGGTTTATTATTATGCAAATTCTCGCCTTGCTAAACCCGCTAGTCTGAACGCCCCGGCTTAACGTTGAGCCGGGCTTAACTCAAGCCTGGCTTATCTCCAAGTCTGAACGTAGCCATACATGCGTACATTGACTTGATAAACATGACATACTAATACTGTACTATATAATAATATTGTATTTCTATATAATTTATACTTAATTTATTAATACATGTTTGGTATACTCCTTTCATATTATGAGCTGGTAGCTGCAACAAAGATGATTTATGCATAAACACCATTTATATTTATAATATTTAATAAAAATTGTTTATGAGGCAATATCTTGCTTACTAAACAAAATTGGTATTCATATGAAAATATTGTCCACTACAGTTAAAATAAAATAAAAAATAAAGAACAACTATTTGTAACTGGACAACGACAACCTACAAAGCATCTGTGTTTATTAATCCTGTTTCCCAGTAAACAAATGCAATTATTCTTGAATATCAATAGTATGGCAATATTGTAAAGCACTTAAAAACAAAATTGTCTCTATGCGCTAAGAAACCACAGCTCAAGTGCACAAGAAAGGAAGAATTAGAAACGAAACCAAAAGAAAAGGAATAAGTTCAGAATTAAAATACAGTTAAAGAGTAAAGATGAGATTTGAGCCGAGACTTGAAGACACTCAAAGATGGAGAATAACCCACAGAATCAAGGTACCTGGTTCCAAGGCTTTGGAGCAGCAACGATAAAAGAATGATCGCCACAAGTTTTAAGGTGACCAATTAGACAGTTAGCAATGGTAGATGAAAATGAGGTAGAACAAGTCTATAGGCGCAAACAGCAGAACGTAATGAAATTTGACTGTAGATCCAGTGGGAGGATGAATGAAATGACTTGTATACAAACAAGATCTTGAATTCAATTTGCAGATGATTGGGTAACAAATGGCGATGAGTCAACATCATCAAAATATTACAGGCATGGCAATGCATAATTCCAAAGTCTCTTCTAAATTTGTATGTTTATTAACATGAAATATATTTAATTTGGGCAGCCATCTAGTATAGAAAACATAATTTACAACCAGTTTTTATTGGGGTGAAGGTCAGACGAGGGTCACGTGTCAGATGGGGTCTGTAGGTTTTAATGTTTGGCAATTAAACCGAGTAGAGTTAAATGATTCATAACCAAAGTAATAATAGAAAATTACAGACACATATTGATGAAATACCTGACCCCTCCCTATCTCAAAATTAAACTAATGTCCCCAAAATTCCAAATGATATACAATTTCAATGATGTAACAATTTCAATGAAAATACAAATTGGAGAATTCTTATTTTAAACAATGGAACACTGAAAATTACTACCCTATACAGTATACTCGCGTATATTAGACGAGGCTTTAAAAATAGAAAAATTATAATCGAAAAACAAAGGGTCGTCGTATACGTTCAACACATACAGTACTGTAAAAGTGTTTGATTTTTAAATTGACATGTGTATTTGGAAGATTGGCCCTAGATTTGCCTCTGTTTTTAGCCAGCTACAGGTAAAGTAGATGCAGTATCAAGACCGTCTTATATGCCCGACATACAAAAATCATCAAAAAAACCCTTCTCAAACTTGGGGTCGTCTTATACGCAATTGCCTTATACGCAAGTAAAATAAATATGGTAGCTTACTTATTTCCACATGAAATTTTTCATAAAACCTTACCATAAAAATCAGCCAACAATGACCAGTTTATTTTATTTTTTTTTATTTTGCTGTTTTGTGTTCTTGTGATGGTTATGAAAACAATGGATGTTCCCTAAAGCCCTGGGTTGCATTGTTGTTGTTCGCTGTTCTGACATTTTAATTTAAACTTTATACACTTTGTACTGCTGTAGATGATGGATTTCTCTTTTGTGGGAGATGTGCGGGGATGGAGTTCATGCTCGGGACGCTTGTGCCGTTATCGGAGACATTTACAGTATCAGCTGCATTCTTGGTCGTAACAGCCCTTTTATGATCAGATAGTTGGTTGATGGGCGTTCCTGGTGTGGGTCTGGACGTTTTGAGTGGGTGCTCCGTTTCCTGTATGGCTCTTGCAAGAGAGGGATTCATCATCTACAGTCTGATGATGTTCTTTTTAGTTAAAAGCTGATTCGATTCTTTATGTTGTTTTGATGTCTTTCATTTTGATTATAACTTTTTTGTCTTTAGGATGCACCACTCATGTGGGTGTGTGCCACTGATTCAAAAGTGCAATACAAATAAATTATAAATATAATTATTTATAAGAAAATGTCCTATATTTAAATCAAGAACTGAGAGTTTGTCAGCATCCTACACTGGATAGAATATTCCGGTAAATATTTTCCAATATCACTTTAAATAAAATGACTCACTTGTTTGCCTAATCCTTGGTTTTAATACTGGCATTCTGGTTGTAGTGATTATAGTCTGTTGGAACATTTGAAAGACACCCTCTTTGACTTTTTTACATTGTGACCAAATTTTCTTTGTGTTTTTTTACTGTATTGTGTTTAAAATACAAAAGGCACATTCTACAGGAAATTATACACAATCAAAACCAGATATTCAAGGCTATTAGAAAAAATGTGCTAAAATATTCTTTTAGAAGTCAATTGTGACATCATCACTGTATTCCCAATGTTATTTCCCTATCTCAAACCATGCAATAAATTTACATTAGTGCAGTTAGCATTAATTTTTAACCTACATAATAATAATTTACATTAGTGTATGGTATGTACTATATACTAATTTAATATATCTACCTTGCAAGTGAGCCTAACAATGATAATTTACAGACAGTTGTATAACTGGAATCTTCATCAGTCCCTCTCTCTGTAGGCCTACTACTCATACCTTGATCCACCATTGTACAGTACATATGAGGCATGTCGTGGCGAAATGGTTAAGTTGTCGCACAGGCCAGTATTGAGTAAATGAGCTATAAAATATGGGAGCTCAAAAAATTGCCTAAAAATCCAATTTTTTTTTTCACTATAGATCAACAGTTTAATGTCTTATTAATCATGTCCCAAAGTATTAGTTCTGGAAGTGGTCAACAAATTGTTATTCAATGTATTTAGATAGTTAATTCTATTAAACAATGTATGAACAAATAACTTTGGAAAGCAATTACTCAAAATCATGTTTATCTTGACTCTAAGAGTGCCGTATTTTCGCTTTTCAATAACTTAGGCTTGAAAAGTCCAATTTTAATGAATGACCCCTTATTTTAAAGATAACATACTCAGGTATATGAAAATACCAATAACTTTAATTTAAAATTTTGCTACAACTTAGCCATTTTGCCACAACATGCCTCATATGTGGTGTACAATTCAAAAACATGGTACCCATACTGTATGTTGTGCTGCATCATACAATGAACAAAAAGCTACAGTAAAGGATGCTTACATGAATGTTTTAACAGATATTATACAGAAAATGCAGGCTCGGCTCAGCACTCTAAACTACATGAAATTACATGGGGCTGTCATTGTAAAATCATGAAAACAACAATGGTTATACACAGATGGCCTGGTCTTCAATACAACAACTCTGTTTTTTTTTTCTCTCTTTATTGTATCAACCATCATGAGGGGCTGTCTCTTATACACATCTAGATGTGTATAAGAGACAGATTCCAGTAAATATTTTCCAATATCACTTTAAATAAAATGACTCACTTGTTTGCCTAATCCTTGGTTTTAATACTGGCATTCTGGTTGTAGTGATTATAGTCTGTTGGAACATTTGAAAGACACCCTCTTTGACTTTTTTACATTGTGACCAAATTTTCTTTGTGTTTTTTTACTGTATTGTGTTTAAAATACAAAAGGCACATTTTACAGGAAATTATACACAATCAAAACCAGGTATTCAAGGCTATTAGAAAAAAATGTGCTAAAATATTCTTTTAGAAGTCAATTGTGATATCATCACTGTATTCCCAATGTTATTTCCCTATCACAAACCATGCAATAATTTTACATTAGTGCAGTTTGCATTAATCTTTAACCTACATAATAATAATTTACATTAGTGTATGATATGTACTATATACTAATTTAATATATCTACCTTGCAAGTGAGCCTAAACAATGATAATTTACAGATAGTTGTATAGTGAGTAACTGGAATCTTCATCAGTCCCTCTCTCTGTAGGACTACTACTCATACCTTGATCCACCATTGTACAGTACATATGTGGTGTACAATTCAAAACATGGTACCCATACTGTATATTGTGCTGCATCATAATGAACAAAAAGCTACAGCAAAGGATGTTTACATAAATGTTTTAACAGATATTATACAGAGAATGCAGGCTCGGCTCAGCACTCTAAACTACATGAAATTACATGGGGCTGTCATTGTAAAATCATGAAAACAACGATGGTTATACACAGATGGCCAGGTCTTCAATATAACAACTCTGTTGGTTTTTTTTTTTTCTCTTTATTTATGATCTAACGACATTGTAAATACTATTGTAATGAACAGTACAGACTATCTGTGGGAAAAATCAATGGGAATGGCAGTGTGTTTATTTTAGCTTGCCACATCACGCGTAACTAACAAGGAGATAAGAATCACATGGAAAGATGAAATGTGTATGAGGTGAAATAAAATTGAGAGCTGAAGGAAATGCAAAAATAGTGTACACTAAAGTAGTACTGTAAAATAGAATAACAAGTACAATATTGTAGTGTTAAGTTACAGTACTAATTTATACTATAGGATTACCAGGGACCTAGGCTCTAAGTAAAATATGATGCTATTGAAACTGATATCACGAGGCTGATTTACATACAGTAGTAGGTGTTATTGTGGAATTACTGGAAAACCATCCAACACAATGAATGTTTCACTTTAATTAATGGTCTTTTAAAATAAATTTCATGTAGTTTTTTTTTTTTATTTTGAAATTTTGCAGTGTGTACTCAGACTACTTGATATAATCAGATATATATCCATGAAATGGATACAAATTGTGTGCTCCACAGGCCGGATTTAGGGAGGGAAACAGGGGGAAGATTCCCCCTCACTGTTAAGCACTACAGATTAAGATATTTGTGCAGGGACACATTAAGAAATGAACTTTCGAAAATTTACTTCTTTTTCTACTTTCCAACAGGTATATTTTTTTTATTTTGGATATTGTTTGCTAATTTTTATGTTAATTTCTGATGTCGAATACATCTTTTTCATGTAGTGAACTTTTGATTTTGAGCTTTTAATGTCTAATATTCCCTTCGCAAGCCCTATTTTATGGTTTGGGCCTGCTATAAAATGCATACCTACTTGTATAATATTAATAATAATGGTTTACTTAAATATCGCATACAATATTGTTGTACAGATGTGCTTACTGAAACTATATGGAAGATACTGTATAATTATCTGAATAAATTCCCCCTCGAATATTGAATTCCCCCTCGAGAGATGCATTTAGAACAAATGCCTCCTTCTTTGGGACTGAAAACAAGTTTAATGGAAGCAACATTATTCTTAACATATTCCATATGTTTTATCCAGTAGAATTATAGCTTTTCCAACCTGGTTGGGATCAATGAGTCTTTATGATTATGCAATAACACATTTTGACGATATGTGTGTTTTAGTTTCACATTTACAGTGCAATAAGGAAGGGGCGTTTATTTGAATAAATACGGTATTTGCATTATTTTTGTATCAACCATCATGAGGGGAATGCATTTTATTGGCTGATTATGATTTATTTTTTAAATTTTATTTTTAAATTAAAGGTAAGCAAAAAAAAAAAAAAATTTCGCCTTTCTAACCGCTTTACTATTATTCTACCTAGCTAGGCCCAGTGGTGGTTGTATTCGTAGTCCGTACTTCTTAATCTTCTTACACTTATTAGGGTACTTAACTAATCACTGTAAATTATAATTTTGTTGGCACAGTCCTGTTGTTCAGGACACTGCGAAAACCGCTTGCCTAGCCTAACCAGGGAAACCTAGGTTCGCTATGTCTACTACGCCTACAACTAGGCTAGGATAACTACTTTGCGTTTAGAAAGAAAAGGGCTGATTTAATTTAAACATTAACAATTTTTAAAAATATCGATAGCATTGATGTGGAAAAGCTCTTTCAAGGATCTACATTCTATAAAACTAGGGGACATTCTTTAAAAGTCTATAAATCCAAACCAAATCTTAATGTAAGGAAAAGAGCATAGGTCTATCCTACTATCATGTCACGGTCCGGGTCGTTAATGATTGGAATTCACTACCCAATGATGTTGTTGTAGTTGCTTCGAATGTAAACTACATGAATTTAAGTCTGGCATATGCCATAGCAAAATGTTGGTCTTACCACCATCTCAATTTCCGCCCATATGTTTCTGAACAGTTTGTTATGACGACTTTGGAGGCACAAACGAGCTAATGCTCTAGCCCTAAGGTTTTAAGGTAATTCAATGTAGGCTAGGCTAGCCTTAGCCTAGGCTAGGTCTAGTTAGGCCTAGGGCCTAGGGCTAGGCCGGTGTAAAATATTGTTTTCACTCTCTACTACTATCTCTCGCTTAATTTCATTGCAAAATGATACAATAATTCATAGTGACATACACTAACCTTTAAAGGAATACGACTTAGCGGGTTAGAATCAAATTGACTATCCATTATCAAATACGTCTGCTTCTTTAATGATTCTTTACCCTTGTTGCTGTAACACCTCGATGAAGTTTTTTAGGCCCAGGAGAGCTTGCTTGTCGATTTTGTTTGCGGCAGGCAACGATGAGGCGGTAATCATCGTCACATGAAGACCATGATGGGCAATGCATCACGTGAACGAACATGTACAAGCGCCCTCTATAATTAAATCTGTGATTGGTGGTTTACGCTTGGGTCGCCATTTTGCTCACGTGTAAAAGGAAGAACGTAAGTTGTTTTGATTATATATTTTACAGTTTTTATGTGTAAATACACGTATTTACAAAACCACATAAGTACAGGTTGAATCAGTGCATGTTTTTAAATAAATTTCAGGGCAATATGACGCAGTACGTTCGCACAGTCGAGGACGAAAATGATCCGGAGCCGATGGAACTCCCAGTCGAGACAGACGGAACAATTCTGTTATCTACGCTGCACGCTCAGTACCCAGGCGCGACGGGGCTGAAATATCGTAACCCTGACTCTGGTGCCATGCGTGGCTTACGTGTCGTAGAAAATGCAATACAACCGCCGGATGAAGTGTGGCATGACTATTTGTATGTTGCGGCTTACCCCAAAATGTCAGGTACCGGTAGTTACATGAATACAGTTTTACTAGCCTAGCTAGTAGTAGGCCTAGGCCTAGATAATAGGTGGGACCTCTGGTCCCCTTGCTGAGGCTGCTCTTGGTTGGTTGGTTGTCTAGCCTAGGCTAGCCCTAGCCTGGTAGGTAGGGGCCTAAACTTAGGGCCTTAGGCCTAGGTTAATATTAGAAATCATCAGAGATGTACTGTGTTTAGGCCTACCTAGGCTAGACGTAGCGTACAATCATTATTAGCCAATAGCGCACTTCACATCTTGTTTCTTGTGCTGAAGATAAAAAAACGATCGATTTTCCTTTATTAACGGCAATTTTTAGTTGATTTTCATCACTTTTTTACAAAAAAAGATGAGAGGCAGCGAGAAAATCAGGGTCGGGCGGTGACGCTAAACAAGTATATATTTTTTTTTGGCCTAATTTAGAGTAAAAGTTAAACAGTCGTGTGAAAAACAGGTTGATTTTATACTTTATAGGCCTAGTTATTTATAAATTCTTGCTGACCACCTGTTTTTGGAAAAATATTTAAATCTTTTTTTGCAAATAAATAATGATTATAATGAAAATCCTAATTGTTTTGTGGTATTATTGTTGACATGGTGATGACTGATAATTTTTTTTCTTTTCACAGTAGACAACAAACGAAAAGGGGAGGAAACTCAAGACATACCAGTTGGAAAAACACGAAAAGTAGAGAGGAACAAGTCTACAGATCTGATTGTTCTTGGTCTCCCATTTCATACGAAGCTCGAAGACATGAAGGCTTACTTTGAGCAGTATGGAGCACTTGAACTGTCCGAGGTAAGAGGATAAAATTTGAGGAAGTTTTATTTGTTTATCAGAACCTTAAAAAAGATATATATTGAAAAAATACAAGTTTATTGTCTTTTGTTTCTTTGTCTTGGACTATTTTGTGTTTTTCCTTTTTTTTCTTTTGTGTGTTTTGAGGAGGGAACAAAAAGAAATTGAATTAGTCATGACCTAGGCTCATTTACAGTAGCCAAGTTGGAAAACAAAACAACAAAATCGAACAACAATACCACAAAAATGATTTTCAATTGACCCTTAAATCAGGACAAAGCACTTAAGGTGGAGAAAAGAAATATAAAACAATGTAATTAATACCAACAAAGAATATACACAAATAGTGGTGGATCCTGATGTAAAAAGCTTACATGAAACAAAAAAGAAAAATACCTCAAAACATGTTGTTGGGTGTGGCAAACATAATTAAATAGAAAAAGTGTTAATTAAAGTAGGTGAAAAGGGGGAACTCACTACACATTATAGTAAAAACAGAGTGTCTGAAAAGATTAGGTACACATTAAGTTTAACAACTTATCTACATTCATCAGCTGACCCATATTTATGTTCCTGGATACTCCGTAAGATTCTCTCTGATATTTTTTTTGCTCTCTGTACCCTGCACATCCTCAAAAACTATTTGGCTATAAATCTTTTTCTTTTGTAGTACCAGCACTTTGGAATTCACTCCCTGCACACATTAAAAACTCCAATTATCAAGTGTCAAATGATGATACCTTAATTTTTTTTATATACAAGTTGACAAAATGAAAATGGGAAAACAAATAGTATACAGTATTGTAACAACTTATCTAGGAATTCAACTGCATCCTTCAACATCACTTTGTAAAGTACGGTACATGGAACTTCAGTTAAGTTTTTAAAAAATGCACATGATTCCCTACAAGGCATTTCTCTACCTTGCCCTTATTAATTATTGATTTTTTTAAATGTTTGCCTTTAGATTAAGTATACTGAACTTAGGGGAGGCTAATCATTTTTAGCTAGTTATGATGACTATGTGGCTATCTGACCTTCCTAGGTTGTCTACTGGATTTTCATAAATAAAAAAAATAATAATAAAATTAATATGGAAACATTTCCATTTTTAGATAAAGAATGACCATATAACAGGGAAGTCAAAAGGCTTTGGCTTCGTTAGGTTTAAAGATCCAACGGTGCAAGACAAGGTGGTCTCGAGGCGGCATCAAATTGATGGCAGATGGTGTGATGTTAGATATCCTGATCGTGTAAGTATAGGTCCATTATACTAAGCCATTGATAATAGATATTGTCTATTGTCACACCATTCATAAACCAATGTTTAGTTCAGATGGGATGTTATTATATGTATGGAGAGTGTTGCTACAATAACATCCAATCAGAATAAAGAATTGGTTTAAGAATTGTAACAATAGCCACGGCCTAATTATTAATTTATTACTAAAGTTCGGGTAATTCACTTTTTTTTAATGTTCTAATATTTAAAGTATTTTTTCATTCTTATGGTGTTGATTTTGTTATTTTTAATGGTTTTATTACTTGAGGTAACTTGTTCTAATATTTAAAGAATGTTTTTATTTTTAATATGCTAATTTCATTATTTTAAAATGTTTTATATTTATTGCACTTTCAACGTTAAGACAAAGAGTACAAAATAGCAAGAGGTCCGACTGTCAGGGTTTCTTTGAAATGGAATGATATCTCAAAAAGTACTAACTTGGGCCTCCTTCAAAAAAGTTGTTCGTATCCATGTAAAAGTTGTTCGTATCAAACTTGCGCTAGCTTGTAATAGACGTCTGTTTGAATTCTAATCAGACGCCCCCATCTTCTGGTGGTACTTTGTTTTTCATTTCATTGTGTGCTTACAAAAAATCAAGACAGTTGAATTCTATACTCTATGTTTGAAAATGCAAAATTGAGCTCAATGAAGCAGAGAAAAAGATGCCATGAAGACAGTATTTATTTTACAGGGTTACCCCGAAAGAGAACAAAGCAAGAAAATTTTTTTACGTCGTGTTGGCGATGGAACGACCTCGGAGGATCTGTATTCTTACTTCGGTCAGTTTGGAGAGGTCACGGACGTGTACATTCCTACGCCGTTCCGCGGCATCGCATTTGTAACTTTCGCAGATTCGGAGGATGCTATGAAACTGCTAGGAGAGGATCGTACAATTAAGGTTTGTTTAAATTTTATATTCTGTATGGTATAATGTTATTTTATTGTTAGAAATATTGCTATTTCTGGTGACTTATTTTTATTATAATTCATAATATAATAAATTATAATATTACAATTAACATTTTCTGTTATTGTTATTACAGATGTTTTGAATTGCTGATTAAATTTTATAGAGGTTTAATTTATACCTTGTTTTAACAAACTTTTTTGCAAACATCTTAGTGGTGGTGAAAAAACATCATTTACTTATTTAGCAAAATGGTTCTCCCAAAAGCTTCTTGGTGACAAAGCAAATATAAATAGAATATTATTGATGAATATATAATGCAAGCATATAAGAAAATGATAATTGAGCATGCCCATATGCCCTCTTTAGAGATCCCATTGCATTGTTGTATGAACAGTGTGTTGTAGTGATGTAAACAGTCCAGAAATAGGACTAATTGATGCTTTATTTTTATTTATTTATGAAAAAAATTATTTATTTGGAGATATATAGCACAGGTGATAATACATAACAGGTGAGATAAATAGAAAAATATTTTTTCCCCAAAATTTCACTTTGTTAGTGCATGCAATAACAGGTCAAAAATGAAATATATTGCTATTAAAAGTTCATTCATGGCAGACAGTGTGTTGTCAAAACCAGGTATAACAAATCATGTCTCATTTTTTTATTGCGAAGGAAAATTAAATGATATTTGATTACTTGTTTATTTTAGGGTTTTAGTGTACATATAGACAGGGCGGAGCCGAAACACTCTAGGCAGTTTATGCAACGAGGTATGATGGACAACAATCCGGTCGTGCAAATCATGCAAGGATATGGAGGGGGTGGAGGCGGTGGTGGAGGGGGACGAGGTAAACTTGAAACAATTATTCAATAACATACGCTAAATGAGGTCCCAAGTTAGAAGAGGTCATTTCCGGAAGCTCTGTTTAAACGTCTTAGCACATTTAGTTTTGTTTACCTACTTATTGTGATACACATTGACTTCCGTGGGACAATTAATAAATGGATAATACACTATTAAAAACATAACAGATTTATTGAATTCGTGGGAGATGTGTTATTTTCCGGGAGATTCTAGTCTGGCTGCAGGAGAGTTTGAGGCTGTCCTGATTTCTGGCAGACTCCCACCATCTGTGGGAAACTTGGGACCCCTGAGCTAAGTCTTCAGAGTGAAATCAATGATATGTTGTAGAAGGGTAATACTCGGAAATGTTTTTGCAGAAGTGAATACCGTAAATGCTTTAATAAGTGCTGCAGCTCTTATAAAAGTTCTGGAAGCTTCAAAGTGCTGCGTTTATTCGAGAGCAACGTTTATTTTAGAGGGCCGCTTTAAAAAAAATATTGGTGTGGCACTTTCCATGCCCATTCCAATGTTACTTATCTAAAGTATATCCGTAGTTCGGTAGGCCTATCATACGTCATCGTAAATAAGCGTTTATAAAGAAATGCTTGTGTCTTCATTGTGTTATTTGTATATTTTAACACTTTATACATTGTATTTAAAACCCTGTTTCTCAAAGTGTCAAATTATACACAGGGTAATATACTCTCAATTATGCGGCATTTGGTGCGGCGCTTATTCGAGAGTGGCGCTCATTCAAGAGCTGCTCTTATTCGAACATTTACGGTATTTGGTTCTCAGAAATGTGAGTTGTCAGGAATTTTGTTTTTCACTAAAGGCTTTTTTGTGAATAAAACAAATGAGGCAATACCCAATTTATTTTATTTCTTCAATAAATGACAATACCTGTTTCTCGAAGTCACCTTGTACTTTTTTCATGAAATAGATTATTATTCTGGTCATGGTCGCTACGGTGATCGAAGTCGAGGCAACATGCGGCGTGGTAATTACTACGATGACAGACGGTCCAACAGCTATGGAGGAGGTTCAGGTAACAGCAGTATGAATACGGGAGGTGGGGGTGGAGGTGGAGGAGGAGGAGGAAGTGGAGGAGGGGCAAGTGGGATGAACCAGTTGGGTAACCTCTCCCTTAATGCTATGGTAGCCGCCACTGCACAGGCCCTAGCCCAGAATTTCAACATGATGGGAATGATAAATCAAGGAACAGGCAGTGGTGGCCAGGGCCAGCAACAGCAGGCTCAACAACAACCACCACAACAGGCTCAGCAAACTGGTTTCAATGACGGCCAGGGAGCCCTTGGCTGGGGTGCCGGTAATACAGGGGACACAAGTAATATGAGTACCATGGGAGGTGGGTTTTTTACCACTGGTTCAAAGGGAGATGCGAGTTGGTAAATTGCTATTCAACAGTGTTAGAGATTAACTGAGATCCCACAATCTAGTCTGATAAAACAATACTCTAATAATCTCAATTTCATAACTAAACTTGTATATAATTAATGTTTACAGAAGGCACTGTTTTCTGGAGGTTTTATTTAATTTGGTGTCCATAATAAATAATTTGAGTAATGTTATCCAATTTCAGATTGGTGTCAAACAGTATGGGGAAACATGGAGGTTTTCTGTACCTCCATAATTTCTTTAACAACAAGATAGATAAATATCAAACTTTGTTAAAGTAGTTAATTGCAATATAACTCAAGTTATGTAACTGAGTTTAGTATGAGTGTGACTTGAATATTGCTTGTACAGAAGATAATCTGAGAAAGAAGATGAATCTTTTCTATGTATGTTTAAAAAATGTGAGAATCTGGTGTGGAGTTGGTTTTAATTGAAACTAAGTTTTTATGTAGGTTTATGTCCTAATAATTAAAGACCATCTGGTTTTGTTTTTGTTTTTTTGTCCTTAGCCATCTATATATTTTGGAAGCCAATATTTTGTAATAACTTACCGCTATCTAGTTACTATGTTAGTATATTATGTGAATACTTACTTGATTTATGCCATTTCTCTGAAGTGAAAACACCATTGAATGTGAATGTACAGTACATAATTTCAGATGATGAACTTTGTGCTAGCATGGTTGGAAAAGAGGGTTTTTTATGCAGGATGGACAGTTCCATTATTTTTAAAGGGTTTTCTCTTCAATAAGAAATTGCATCTATCAGTTTATTTCCCTGAAGTGAATACACCATTTGACGTGAATGTACAGTACATAATTTTTCAGAAGATGAACTTGTGCTTTCATGGTTGCAAAGAGTTTTTGGTGGAGGATGGACTGTCCCATTATTTTTACAAGGTTTTCTCTTCTAAAAGAGATTGCAGCAATCAGTTAATTTCCCTAAAGTAAAAACACCATTTAAGGTGAATGTACGATACATAATTTCAGATGATGAACTTGTGCTTGCATGGTTGCAGGATGGACAGTTCCATTATTTTAAAGGATTTTCTCTCCTTAAGAAATTGCATAAATCTGTTAATTACCTTGCTCACAACTGTAAGTTGCCAACATTACCATAAAATTGTAATTTATCCTATAAATTTTAAACAAAGTTGATATTTGCTTGCTATGTGTTTGAATATGTATGAAGGTGATGAATTATTAATGAGATACTGTTGGTTCATATGGTGATTCTTTCTTTGAAGTTTAACATAGTCTGCTTAGTAACTAGAGTTAAATGTTGAACAGATGAAAAACATTTGTAAAAACTAGTTGATAGAATACTCAGTATTGTGAATTAAGCTGGTGAGGTCAGAGGTTGAACAATTAAAAAAGTATGTATAAGTTAATGTAATATGATGATGGTGAAATTAAGGCACATTTATGAAAAGATGTTACCAGTGAGGAGTACAAAAGATGTCAAAGGTCAATTTCCTGTGATTGTGCAACTAGTTAATGTAATGATGGTGAAATTAAAGCACATTTATGAAAAGATGTTAACAGTGAGGAGTAAAAAAGATGTCAAAGGTCAATATCTGTGTTTGTGCAAGTTGTTAATGCAGTATGATGATGGTGAAATTAAGGCACGTTCATGAAAATATGTTACAGTGAGGAGAACAAACGATGTCAAAGGTTAATATCCGTGCTTGTGCAAGTTGATGAAAATTCGTATTTTGTATATTTTCCCACAAAAACGTGAGAACATTTTTTAAAAGCTTACCAATATGACAATGATGTTGAGGTTAAGAAGTAATTGGCATTAAACGCCTTTTTAGTCTGTGTCTTACTGTTTATATTAAGTTGTAGAGTGGATGTTAAGAGAACCAAGCCTGTTCTCGCGTGCTATTTGAGTACGACTGTCAGAGAGAGCGAAGCACTTGCAGTCGAACGGTAGCTAATAAAGAATGATTTTTGTGACGAAGTGATTGTGTATTGTCTTGCTGTCAATATGTTTTCTGAGATGCTGAGTTTTTCACATGACGTAGGCACCTCTTCAAAGCTGCGTGCGCTGATGTTTTCATTTCGTCCCTGTCCGTTCTGACTGAGCCCTATCTAGACTGAGAATATTTCGAAAATATGGTTAAAGCTCTGTCCACACTAATTTATGTGATGTGTCCCTATATGGTCATGATGATGTCATATTACACCCAAATATGGGCATATTACATTGGTTTGTCACATACAGTTTAAAAATTGTGGAGAGATCTTTACAAACTCAACATATTTGGGAGAGTCTAATGAATGTATTTGAAGAGAGGTTGCCATGAAGGCCAATTCGGATAGTGTTGTACGATGCACCACCGCGATTTGCTGTCGCTTTGGGTCTGTGTGGGTTAAACGCAGACGCGATGGTTTGCGTCGGGGACAGTTGCATCATAGAATATTAAACATGTTTAATATTTCTCACACCAGCTTAAGACTCCCCGACGATGAATTGCATTAAGCTGCGTCGTACGACACTGTCTCAGTTGGCCTTAATATCCGTGAGTTTTTTTTATGTACTGTTGAACTGCAACCTAATAACAAGAAGTAATGAGAAACACTGCACAGGGATTTTTGTACAATAAGAGGTGAAAGAAAGGACATGTACGGTTAGACTGTTTGAGAAGAGAATCGTATACGTTGACCATAAATGATGCGGTTTATGGTTGATATTGCGTAAAAGGGTGAAGGAAGACAACTGGAGACGATGGATGGATGTTGCATTATGGGATGGATGATTCAGAGATGGCTTCTTTTCGTCAGACTAACTTAATACTATATGCGAGGAGTGAGGTGATAGCGGCTATTTGATGGTGGGCTAAGAGTCTTCGTTTCTTAATGATTATACTATAGAGGACAATATGTGAGTACACTATTACACTAGTGTGGTAACCATGGTGATGATTGTGTTTCGATATTCCCAGAATGTAAATCTTTAGACAAGTGCGTTTTTTTTTTTGCAGTTAATTTTCTTTGTAATTTTTTTGGACAAAAGCCTCACTGCTATTAAAGAGAATTGTATTTATTTGTGTTGCTTACTTTTGTTTAAAATATTTGATTACACGCTAAAAACAGATTTATATACTGTAGTATAGTACCTATATTTAATTGATATAGTTTTTAAATACAAGAACAGATAAACACTTGATTTAATCAAAGCACCACCTACAGTAATGGCTATTTAAAAAAAAATATTTGTGTAGTCTGGGGGTGCTTATGTGACTCCCATGGTAGTAAATTAATTCCACTAAGTAGTTTAAAATACTACAAATGATGCAAGTTTTCATCATATAAGTTTGTTGTAATGTGTTGAAGGGGTGATTAGTTATAAATCAAACAAAAAAAATCTGAAAATATAAACTCTATTTTTATTTATTTCTTTTTAGTATGAATTTTTTTTTTTTTTTTTTACAAATATCTTTTAAAATCTTTTATGTTGTGAAACTAGTATTGTTCCTTCCTAAAGTAATTCTAAGTCTGTATTAACATTAGTCCTTTGAAGAAAATATTGAACTTCATATTTTTATGTAATCCTTGCATATGAAATATTTTTTTACAACACTTTGTGAAAATAGTTCATATTATAACTATTGCTTGCAGAAACTAATACTGATTTTGTATTTCTTTTCAGGTCGATATGATCGGCACCGCGACTGGCGGTGATGGTATTCGGACTCAATCGTGTGTAAATTAAAGTGTCGTTTAACGTGCCATTCAGGTGATGATAACCACTACCGCATTTCAAGTTATTGATTAGATAATTTAATTAGGTACGTAATCAAATAATATAAGTAAAAAATAAACGATTTAATATTTTTTTACCGAGGAAAATATAGTAGTGTAGCCTATTAAGAGAAATTAAAATTAAAAGAAACTTAAAATTCACCCATGAAAATGTTACCATTCTACTGTAAACATAAAAATTTGAAATTATATGCAATTTTAGGATGTTACAAACTCTTATGTTTTAACATAACTAAGTAAAAAAAGGCAAATAATAACCCTACAAAATTCAAACTTTATAGGGTGAGGCTTTTTTAGTACCTTGTTAAGTGAACTTACAGTAGGCGTAGATATCACGAGGTGGGGTACTGTAGTAGTGAATAGCCCATAGATGGAAAAATATATGTTGTGCAATGGTGTAACAAAAAGACTTGAGGCCCCTGGGCAAGGCTTTTTCAGGCCGTAATACCGTGGGGCTCAGGGATATTTGACAAAAAAATTTTGGAATATGATTAATGAGATACAGATTTTTAAATATTTAAAAACTGGAGGAAAAGGTGGGAAAAGTGTGGTGTACTGCAAAATGAGTCTCATAGTTAGAAAATAAAAAATTGAGTTTATATTATATTTATGTAAATCACATTATAAGCTTTAATTTGGTATTTGAATGGAATCCCTAGGATAAATTTTGAGAAAATTGGCCTCAAAGATAAACTAACCTGTACAAACAATAGTAATAGAATTACAGAATACATGTGAGGAGAACACTGTTTTAGGTTGAAAATTCATTTAAAAAGTATACAATCATAAAATATAAATATCAAGTTATTCAAAAACATTAAAATCAAAATTTTGCAAAATTTGACTTTGTGACCAATTTTGGTGAATATCTCAATATGATTTCACCAACGATGCATCTCATTTTGTGGTGAGACCTCACAAATATGCTTTTTGTCTCTGGCTTTTAAAGAGCCCTGTTAGGCCACGGTCCTGGCAAAAATACAGTATGCCAATTAATAGGGAGTTTTTGATTTGTGTGACGATGTGACGCTAGAACAGAATCACTCATGCGTGCCTGTCCTGCCTAGCGTCCTACGTTCTCTGCATACCTACATTCGGCCAAATTGCGTTCCAAAATCTACTCGATGAGCTGACCTTAACGTTCTTGCATGCGTAGATGACTTTTAGTGAGGTCATTACGTTCTACCGTCGCCGTGAAATCGAAAACTTCCTAATATCGCAGGGCAGGTGTTACGCCACTGACAATATAAGTGACTTGTTATAAATTTCATATTTTTTTGTATATTGTGTAATGTATACATGTTTATTTTATCATGGTATTAACACTTCTATTGATTTAATTTTTGTCAAAATGTTCTCTTTACCTTATTAGGCGTGTGCATCTGAATCCACCTGTAAATCAGTTGTCCGCCCGTATTTCCATGCCTGCCGCATAATGCAGCTGAGTCTCCGATGTAATAACTAATAAACCCTAAACAGGGTCCTAGATGTCTTGTTCTATAGTTCTGTCCACTCTAAATCTTATTTATGTAATAAATATCTGATTTGACCATATATGGGAATAATAAGACATCATTCTCATATATGGACAAATTACAGAAATTAAAACAATTACGTGAAGCCTGGAATATGAGGAACATGGGATCCTTAACTCTGGTTTTATAAATTTAGTTCATTTTCTTTGTCACTCTTAAGCTGCATTTACATTAGACACGATACGACATATCATTGCTTCGTTTATATTCTTCAACACTGAGCGTATTTTTTGTCGTGTCGTTATCATGTCTAGTGCAAGTGTAACTTTGGTGTTGCAGTCAATTGTTGATCTGTGAGGCCTTATATTTTCCCAGATAAGCGTAAAGCCCTTGTTGTAGTACGTTTTCACCTTAACTATGCTGACTTGAAAGCCCTGTTTAGACTATCAATTTCATGTTTGACAAAAAAAAATGTGACACGCCTAAAAATGGTCATGATGTCATCACATCATGACTATATATGGGCATACAACAGTTTTTTGTCGAAGAAAATCTAATAGTGTAGACAGAGCTTAAGATATGTTCAGGAAATGGTAATACATAGTAACGTTATTACCTCTCAGGTTTTGATACATGTTTATTTTTGGCCTTGTCAAAGTTTGTACTAATTTTACTAAAGGATGGCAACAATTATACTATATAATTGTTCCAAAAACGAGATTCTTTTAAGAAGTGTAATGTATTATTTTTATTTATATAAATTGAACAGAATTGAAGAGAAGATGCTGCATATTTTTGTATGGTTTATTACCTTAAACAACCATCAATCCAATTCCTTGTACAGTATACCTTTAGTTTCATATTTTCCTGTGGCTATCAATTGCTAGCCTATGACTATAAACTTGCTAGTTTGTATCCTTCAATATTGATGTTATTAGTGAAAAGATCTTGGGGATTCAGTGGTGGATCTAGGATTTAGCAATGGGGTGTGGATAATGGGAGGTGAGAAGGACCAAGCAGGGTGGGGGGGGATGTGGGAGGGGCGTCCACTCCCATTTGAGATTTGTTTGAAATTAGTAGACTGCTAGACGATCTTAATTGCATCTGAAAAGAAGTAAGCTTAAAATAGAAAGGGTATTTTTTATCAGAGTACACAAGAAGCACACACACAAGACAAGTGACCATTAATTTTTTTTCATGGTAAACGAACGGGGATGGTTAGCCATCCTATTCACCCCCTCTAGATCCGCCACAGGGATTATCTATTGAATTACAGTAGAGTATAAAGTTGTTGGTGCATCACTATCTCTTGTCAGCTGGTATGTTATACCTGTACTGTATAATAGATCTCATTAATGTTTTCATTTCGACTGCCAGTGGTAATAGTCAGCTCAGGGAACTCGCTTCTTCTCAGTTAGTTCAAGTCCTGGTTTTACAAAGACAAAAAAAAAAACAATATAAAAATCATAATTTTGTGGAAAGCTTTTGAGCCGTCAAACTTTACTCTCCCAATTTAGTGTTGTGTTTAAACTAATGTACTAGACTATTTGTAATCACAATTTTATTACAAATTTAAACCAGAAAATTAATTTGTTTATTGAATGCAAAATGTTTATTGATGGATTATCCAACCTTATTAAGGGTTTGGTACTAAAGTGATTTTTCATAGCTTTTTTATTCAAGAAATGTTACAAGAATACTGCACAGTACAGTACTATCAAGATGACAATAAGCATACTCATATTTTTGCTTTTAAAATAGCAGTACCCTAAACAAGAATGGTACTCTGCCAGGATTGGCTGGAGTGATGTTACATGACATTGGTATTATTTGAATGCACAATCCAATAATATAAAACTTTATCGGCACCATGTGACAAATAACCTGTGATTTGCCGATGCAAATGAGGTATGACGTCATCATGTCCATATATGGATGATATATGATATCATCATGCACATATATGGACATTATATGACATGATCATGTCCATATATGGGAAATTCACACAAATTGTTCACGTAATACAGTCGCGTGGTCAGCTTCTTGGAAATCAACAATTATGTGGTTGATAATGGGTATTTGAATTCAAGAACTTTGTTCAATACATTTTTCTCAAAAACTTGTTATGTACAGTACCTTTTTCTCCATACCAAAGTTGCTATCATAGAACTGTGAGTGTATATTTGAAATATCCATTTAATTTTGCAGGCAAATATACTTGGTAGAGTTTTTACCTTTGAGGATTAAATGCATGCAAGTGGGTACCAAGTATTCTTAAAAATCTATGGTCATCATAATTCATATCATAATTGAGGGCACTAATATGATAAATCTGATCATAATACTGTGCAGTAACAATTACTATGGAAACAACTCGCAGTTGAGATTTTTACAAATTATTGAGTACTTTGACTAAATAAATTGATCATTTGAAGTCTCTTGTATCTGTATTGATTTATGTTGTATTGTAGTTTAAATCATCTTTCATTCATTGCTGACTGTATGGCCAAACCCCAGAGATGTTTAGTAAGAGCCAGTGACTTTACATGGACGGGGGAAAATTGCTCTCCGTGTACCCACAATGCATTTCGAACGGATGTTCCACTCTAATGGGAAGCTGCTCTATCTTCTGCTATTTATCATCTTTGACAGCACTGCCAATTAAATTTAGCATGGCATACACTACACAAAATTCACTAAGTAACCCAGGCTATATATTACAAAGTAATTACCGTACTCGCGCGAATAAGCGCCCCGTTTGAATAAGCTCCCCTCTCGAATAAATGTGAAAATTTCCTTAAGCGCCCCCTTCTAATTTGAATAAACGTCCCCTCAATAACTCAATCAATCCTGGACTGTGTGGATGTTGGCATGATTTGAGGTGTGGAGTGGAATTCCATTCTCTTTAGTCAATATCAAAATGAGGATATTTATCTTGGACAGATGAGAGCTCCCTGGACAGACAGTATATTTCCAACTTTCATCATCTTACATTTTTCTATAGCCTAGTCCTACTGCTTTTCCGACAAATTCCTAACGCATTCTCATCTGATAAGAAAGTATAATACATACTCCAAGTATTGAAATACACGCCATCGTGTTGGGATTCAATATTTCGACATTAATTATGTCATCATCATTCCTGATGATGATATAATCGTTTTTCATTCAAAATATGCCTCTTGAATTTAATAGTTCTCATAAGAACCCCTCGATTTTCATCTATTTCTATAAGCGCCCCCTCAATTTCCACTCTGTTTTGATAAGTGCCCCTCAAAAAGTGCAAAACATATTTTAAGCGCCCGGGCGCTTATTCGCGCGAGTACGGTATATGCGATAGTGCACCTATGAACACAAGTCTGTACAGTTTGTAACATTCATTAAATATAATACATATTTTATTATAGAACCATCATTACATAGAATTAATAATAATAATAATTCTGGATTTATATAGCGCCTCACGTTGACACAACCTCGAGGCTCTTGAACATTATTACCACTGGATCAAGCACATGGGGAATTCCATAATATTGCAGCTGTATTCAGCGCAGGAGGCTGTGTTTGAACCTACCAGATACCCACTTGTACTCCTGGGTGGAGAGAGAGTACCGTAGATAAAGTGCCTTGCCCGAGGACACAAGCGACTTGCACAGCAAGAGTTTCGAACCCCCGACCTCAAAGTTGGGAGTCCAGGCCACAACTGATGCGCCAACCACGCCTACTTAGAGTTTATATAATAGGTATTCACAATACAGTATATATTTATGTACAGCTGACCTTAAGGTCCAAATGGTTTACTACAGGTATGTGTAAACATTTGCTCATGAAAGAGTTACTGGGCTAGTAATTTGTGATACATTTCATATTTTGCCAAAGCCATTGCTGTGCCCCAGGGCCACCCTGATCAATGTCAGAAAAACTTGTAGATTTTCAACTTTTAATCATCAGCATGCAATGTTTGATATTGAATTTAATATTAAACAACCCCTACCCCACATTTCAATATTATGGCCATTCCATGTGCCATCATAGTTTATACACTACACTTTATCTTAGCTCTGCATATACAAAAACATTTTAACCAGACACAGAATGATACAGATGGGCTTGAGCTCAATCTCTACTTTCCTAGCAAATCACATGATGAAATGTTCTGGATGATTGCATTTTTAACAATGTGCATGCATGATGCTGCCACAATCCTCACAAATCCAGGTTGACACCATTAAACACTATCTTTGGCTATAAGGCCTGCCATTGTTCAATGTGTCTATAAATATCGAACGCAGATTCAATTGGCACAACTGTTGGGGTGACCTCGTAATGAGGGGCATGATTGACGGATGACAGGTCTGCCATGTCAGTCAGCATGTCGGGTCGGAAGCACTCCATTATGTCTGGTTGTTTTTTTACAGTTGATGGCTGTAAGATAAGAATACAATGATGCACTTCGATATAATTTGTAATTTTTATAGTCCACATGTTAATATTGATAATTTAAAACTTGACAATATATTTTGGATATTTGTATAAAGCTCAGCTCCGTTGTTGCAAAGAATTTGTTTATACAGTTAAACTTGACCTTCCATAACTCGAATAATTTAAAGAAGTCAATCTTATTTTACATGCCAAATTCAGTGGTGGATTCAAGGGGGCCCAAGCTGGCTCGGGGACCCTAAGGTTTTCAAAATTGCAAATAAAATGGAGAAAAGGGGAAAATTTTAACCAAATTTATATCCGAAAGTGCCATTTCCAGCCATCTAGAGGTGCCACAACAAATTTTCTTCATGTAGAAAATGGCAGATTTGTGTACAATGGCGGATCCATGAATTCAAAATAGAGGGGGCCCAGGGAGGGGTACTTCCACAGATGGAGGATCTATACCACCCCATCCCCACCATAATTGGTGCTGAGGTAAAAAATTTTTTTGATTAAATGACACCTCTAGATGCTTTATATCTCTATTTAAAAAAACAATTTTGATGGGGCCTGGGCCAGTTGGGGGCCCCTTGAATCCGCCACTGATGTACCCTCTAGGCCCCCTCTATTTCAAATTCCTGGATCCGCCAATGAAATTGTTATTTTCCATTAATTTATAATCTGTAAGTCAAATATTATCTAAGTCAAAAATGTTATAAATGCCATTTTGGATTCAAATTACACCCTATTTTGCCTAGAATCGCATTGTAATCAGTTGTAGCAATTTTGTCACATCAAACCGCAAATTAAAATTGTGTGTGAAAGCTCACCAATAGTAGTTGTTCAGTAATCTAATACCCCATTCAGACTAGCATCGCATTGCGATCGGTTGTAGCAATTGCGACACCCAATCGCAAAGTAAAATCGTGTGTGAAAGCTCACCAATACTAGTCGATATGTAATCGATATCGCAATTGTTACCCGTTGCGATTGGGTGCTACAATCTTTATTACTCTCGATTACCACGGAATCTGATCTCAATGAATCACAACGAATTCCACAGGCACCGTTTGGCTGAGGTCAGGCAACATAGGCCTAGACACTGGAGGCCTAGGCCCTAGAATGTAAAGTTTGCTTGTGTTGGTCTGAATGCGTTCTTTGATTGCGATCGGGAGTAATCAGTTTTGGATTACCACCGATTACATCGCAACTGATCGCAGGAGAGTGTAATCTGAATAGGGTATATATCACAATTGTTACCTGTTGCGATTTGGTGCTACAATCTACATTACTCCTGATTACCACGGAATCTGATTGCAATAAATTCGACAGGCACTGTTTGGCCGAGATCAGTCAACACGGGCCTAGCCACTGGAGGCTTAGGCCCTAGCAAATAAAGTTTTTTGTGTTGGTCTGAATGCGCTCGTTGATTGCAATCAGGAGTAATATTATCAGTTTAGGATTACTACCAATTACGTCGCAACCAATCGCAACAGAGTGTAGTCTGAATAGGGTATTAAGCAAGTTCAACTTTACCTCAACAAGTAAATAAATTAAATAGTAGTTTACCTTCGCCGTGTCTTTCCTTTTGCTCTTCTTAGTCCTAATGACCTTTTCCTCAACAACAGGGTTCACTACCCCCTCTGCTGGAACATCTATACTCACCAATCCTGGAAAACAATAAAGAGTGTGTTTTCATGAAAAAAAGAAAAACAAATTAACTCACTAGCCTCATAATAAGACTTTAAACTACTAGTACTACTCAAAGAAAAAATTAAATTGTTTGATACAAACAAAAATTTGCACTTTTTACCAGAATATTTTTTGTAGTCCTGAGGCACATTTACTGCTTCAGCGACTCGTTCCACAAACTCATTCCGCACTCTCTCAGATTCCTGAAGCATCCTTGCAACAGCGCTTTCTGCATCAAATACTTCTAATTCCATGTTTTGAAGCCTGTGCTCCAACATACCAGTTGAATGCAGTTTAGGCCTTTCTAACCTTGATGAGGAAGATGCCATTCGGCCCTCATGTTGATAATGACTTGCTTGAATTTCAACTTTATTTCCATTGGTTGAACTAGTCGGTAACCTTGGTTTCAAAATAGTTTTAGGTCTATTTGAACTATCATGGTACCGTCCTGTTGACTTTTTTCCTATAGGTTTTTCTGTGTTATTATTTCTGATCACAGCAAAAATATCTTTTCCAGATTGGTGTTTTGGTTTTTGATCCCCCAATGCAAATCGAACGTGACCTTTCTGCTTGTTATTATTTTCAACATTTTTACCGTTGTTGCTTTTACCAACACACTGTCCCAAACGATTGCTCTTCTCTGGGGTGACAGTCAGGAGAGGGTCAAAGGCATGAGGACATGAGGGCCGTAGAATTGGCGTTGGAATTTTCACAGATGGTAAAGGATGAAGATCGTCTTCCCACATAACACCTGTAAGTGACGGTGACACCTTTCCCGCCATTATTTTCAGCTGGTATACAAAAATCTTTTTTCTTGACCATACTAAAAAAAAATGTAAACACATTGTAAAGTCTATTAGGCTGTTATGCCCAGTGGCTTTTGTACAAGCCTTGAAATTGGGGGGCTCATAATTAGGTGAGGGGTGCTAACTAGCTAAACATATTTAAAAATTGGGGGAAAAAGGTGTAAAAAGAGCAGTTACGCTGCTTTACCAACAGTTTTTAAATATTCCAAAATCTGTATCTTTATTCACCGATTCCCATTTTTTTGTCCAACAACCTTTTTCTGTGTTAAAAAAATCAGTTCTACAACATTCAATTTTGTTTTTGTTTTTTTTTTTCTGGATCCTGAATTTAAGCAGGACTCCTCTATTAAACACAACCCTATTAACTTGGGACACTATTTCAGCCACGAAACAAGGGAAAGTATAGTTACGAATTTTGTGACATTAAAACATAACAATTCAAAACAAAACTATTAAGTTATTTAATGATTTTACGTACAAGTTGACAAAAAAGATGTTTACTGTATACGAGTCAGCTAATACGGTACGCGTAGACTGGACCTAAATTGGATGCGAAGACAAAGTTGTTTACGAATACGAGTTGGAAGAAGTAAAAAATTGACCAGCATCCATAAGCCCTGGGGTATGGTTGGGTACAGCGCCCATATTATATGTCCTTGGTATTAACACGTAACACATGTAGGCCTAATGTATATTTATTAAATAAATAATCAGCAAACTTCTTTCAATCTTTGCTTTAGATTAGTAATTCCATTCACACACAAGGCAGTACTGTACAATATTAGGCAGGCTTTCTATGGTTGCGAAAGACTCCGCTTTCCGCGAGTCTTGACTAGCTAGTGGAGGGCCTAGGGCCTACCCAGGTGTCGTGTAGGCTAGGTTAGCTAGCTAAGCGGACCTGTTTAGCTCTAAATGGAATTATGGAATGAACAATAACTTCAACAAATATAAAACAGACTTACCAAGGTATAGAAATGTATACAAACATGGGCAATCCAGCTACTAATATTACATTTTTAATTGAAAAACAAACCAATTGTTATGTATGTTTTTACGACTTGAAACGTTCAAATACGCCCGCTGTATCGCGCCCTCTTTAGTATGTGAAGTTATCCGCCACCATTAGTCTCCGTGGAGCTCCTACACGAGTGTGTGCGTTAATTGCGGAAATCCACGCCAATACATACGCACGCGTAGTATGAACGCGGTAGTCTAGGGGATCAGAGTTACCATGTCAAAGAACACAAACACAAAATTTACTTGGATTTTCCAGAGTGAACACAGCAAAAAAAAAGCTCCGTAAGTTTTCGTGTTTTTACGAAACCGTACGTTTAATTTCATTTAAAACTTGTTCATATATTGACATACTACTATAATAGGCTAAGGTTTTCAATTTTCAATATTTTTTTTCAACATTGAATGTGCGTCAGGCAGGCCTAATGACGAGAAATCTAGCGTGCAAGTGAATTAGTTGTACACGCGCATTGTCTAGCAAGTCTATATTTATAATATAAAGTTATATATTTGTTTATTAAGTTAAGCATTTATAAATTTATATTTTTAGATACATAAGCCTATTATATGTTACGATTATCATTTTCTACCTGACACGCGAACTTCTAGGGTAAGTGAAACTTCTTAAAGTCAGACTGCAGAGTAAAAACATTTCAAATATTTTTCTAAGCAAAAAGCATAAATATGACGAAAATCCAGTAGCGGTTAATTAGATACAGATTTTTGAATATTTAAAAACTGGGTAAAAAGGTAGAAAAAAAGAAAATTATTTAAAAAGCTGTATTTAAATAATAACTACTTTCGAGTTTTTTTTTTTTTTTTTTTTGTTTGTCAACATATATGTATTTGTGTCTTACAAAAATCAGTTGTACAACATAGTATTACCTCCGGAGCCTGGCTTTAATATTTAAGATTATGAATTATGATACATTTTTTTATTCATCAGTAATTGCACACTGAAATTATTATTGCAATGTTGACTATTTGTTTTTATTATTATTATTATTATTATTATTATTATTATTATTATTATTATTATTATTATTATTATTATTATTATTACTACTACTACTGCTACTTTTATTATTATTATTATTATTATTATTATTATTATTATTATTATTATTATTATTAGGATCATAATGCCAAGAAGATCGTGGAAAGATTGGGTAAAACTTCGCCCATTACGCGCCTTTGGTACAAAAAGGTAAATATAGGGCCTATACAACACTGAAAGAATAACAACGATGTACTATACTTTAATAGCATGAATGAAGATGATAATAAACAACGATGACTTCTAACTACAGGTCTCCCTCCAATTAAGGACCCCTTTTGGGACCAGGGTTTCCATGGTCTTTAAAAGCTTTGGTCTCTAATTAGAATAATAACGATAAAAGACATTAATTAATGTTAATTTGAGACCACAGAGAAGTGGTCTTTAATTGGAGGGGTCTTTAATTAGAGGGAGATCTGTAATTTGAATTTCACATGGCTTATGCAGTGCGGTTTATTTTCTTATAGCCGTGCAGCCTTTGCTGATTTCTTCAGTAAATATTTTATGTGCTGCTTTTGTACTATCGTACATACTTGTACAGCTACAAATTCTACCTCTGATGATGCAAATGACATGTATACTGTTGTACCACCACTACGCATGGCTGTGCTCATCAACTGGATTAGGATGTGGTGTCTGATGGATGTTGTCCAGAACGTACCAGCACTAGAGGCTTCTATTGAAAGCCGCAATGTCAACTTTTCTCATAAAGTCAGTGCTGCTCCCTCTACCAAGATCGCCCACGTGCTACCTATCGCAAACTGCTACCAGACTACCACCCAGCATACTGTAACTTTAGACAGTGGAAGCAAATCCAACAATGTGTCTTCCGTATGTCCGAAGATGTGTGGACAGCCTGGCAAATGTGGCTATTGTAGAACTCACCCAACCCACAACGGTGGAGGTGATCAGCTGGTGGATATCATGGACTCGCCAAAAGTATTACATTGGATGCAGTACATGCGCAGTGAAGTCAGAACAATGGACGAATTGCTTCCCAGGGAAGTTCCATGCTTGACAACCGATTATCTATATCCAGTTAAGAAATTTTGCCAAAAGGTAACATCTCATACATATTAAACTTATATGCATAACAATGAAAAAAAGTCTGACAGAATCAGAGTAATAAAAGTTCTAATACAGTTATAGATAGTTGGATATAGGCCTGTTATGCCTTCTTAGGGATTACGTTTTTACACTATTTTTAAAAATTAAAATTAGCTTAGGTTTTCAAGCAAGCACGGAACTTTATGTTTAATAATATCATTTCTTTACTACTTCCTACTATAGGTTGTACTTGGTAGTGGCAGTTACGGTGAAGTTCACCTTAAACGTCTCGGTGGTTTCAAAGGCCCACTTGTAGCCACAAAATCTTGCTTCAGAGACAACACACAAGACGAATTACTGCAATTCACTGACAAGCTCTCTTTTTCGTTTGAGGCCAGAGTTATGCTTCAGCTATCTAAGGAAAGCAAACAACTATTTCCTCAAATCTACGGTGTCAGTTATTCTAAAAAATCACAGACTCACTGTGGTATTGTGATGGAGTTTATCGGAAATCCAACCACCTTCAAATCCCTGACATTGTATAAAGCTTTGGCAACTGCTGAACTAGAACGCCCGACTGACGGACTAAATGTAGCCCTCAATATTGGAAATGGTATCAAAGTTTTACAGAAAAATGGTTTCATCCACAATGACCTCGCCACCAGGAATGTTCTTCTGTATCACAACGGTTATCAAATGGCCGCCAAAATCACCGACTTTGGATCCGTTTGCACTGCAGCAGCCCCGTTTGACTTCTTCCAGCTGAACAACACTAAAGATGAAGACCGAGTCGGCCGCATGAAGAGACATCCCGAATACGCACCAGAACTCTTCTTTCCTAACACACCACCTAGTTTTGCATCAGACATGTACAGCTTCGGCGTCATCCTTGAAGCTATCAGCAAGACGATCGTTACTTTTTCACTCATTCATATTAGTCGTCACTGTAAGAGTATAACTCCAGAAATTCGGCCAAACATTGACGTCATTTGTAGTGAGATCACTCTTGATCTGATTCATGAAATGAGCAAAGCCGCCTTATAAATCAATATCACTCCTATATTTCTTTATTGTAAATATAATTGACTGCACATAAAATTTAATATGTAGTTTCAAATTCGATATGTATGTGTATATATATATATATATATAGCCTATATATATATTATTTTTTGACAAAAATCAAAATAAATGGATTTAATAAAACATGGCGATTGTCTTAGTAGTCTCTTATTTAGCCTCATTGATTATCTTCATGCCGTACACATACTTCAACATATAAACAACCTCAATAACATACGGTATAGGTCTGGTAAACTTCATAACTAACATTACCAGAGTAATGCTATTACTGATGACAGTATACCCATTTTTCTTCCGTTTTTATCGGTTCACAATCAACCTAGATCGTTCGATTTACCGGTGACATAGTCACCATTATGCATTATATATATTTATCATTATTTCTTCACTGTCCGACGTTCAGTGTCCTGTCTTCTTCATCAGGTCTACAATTATTTCTTTACCTACATGGGCCATTCGATGATTATTATTTCATACAAATACAAGGATAGTAATAATACAAAAAACTCGTCTAGAATCATCCTAATCCTATACATTACAAAGGCCTGTCTTGTCGCTAAGCTTAGAGGGAGGATGCTCCTAGTACGTCATCACAAATTTAGTTTAGAGCGTCTACGCTACGTAACGAACGCGCACGAGATTTGTAATTCTAAAAAATGGAATATAATGTACCAGATTATTGTAAATCAGCCGTCAAATTGTATAAAATCGGTAAAATTCTCCTTTTAAAATATAAAAATGTTTACCGCTTTTAAAATCGTTAAATATCGTCGCCGCCCTCTATGGTGTATACACACGGATCACACTGCTTGTTCCCGGTAGAGAAATTCTTTTGATTGATACGTTTTTGAATAGACCGTGTAAATGGACTTTGTGCACAAATGTCATCACCGCAACCTCTAACCAACTCTAACTAATCTTCTGAATGTTTACAAATTGTTGTGACGTAAAGCCAGTGTTTACCCACTCCTCGTGGAGCCTTTTACCCTAACAGAAGGCCGTCAAGGCGGGCGTTACTCGCAACCGGAAACTTTACGGCAGAGGGTCGTACTATCACCAATTTCTAACTTTGTTACACTCTGTGAGAAATATATGCAGACTGCACTGTGACTACTTAGCACTTCTCTGTTAACCCTAGTCATTCAAAGAATTCTTTCGTGGTTTTTCTGATTCTTAAAGTCATTTTCAAAGTTCGGATTCTTAGAATCTCATTTGCGATTTGCGATCCATCACTGCGAGTGTGGAGTAAGCTGCAATCGTCGACCCGATTTAGCAACTCTGTAATCAAGCGGGTGAAAAGGTGAGTGAAAAAACTAATTGTATACTCGGCTGTTAAACTACTTTATAGGTGACAGCTTCAAAGAAAAAAAAAAAGAACATAAGCACAGTGTTCAACCAAGGCAGGTAAATAATACCACAATTTATTTTGGTTCCAAGTAGGGCTATAGATAACCTAATTGTTTTGTATCTAGATATCTGTAAACAAATATAATCATTCAGAGGAGCTGTACCTTGGAAATAGTAGCCTAAGTCTGTGGTGGATACGCCTATCGCTGTGCTGTATCGTTTTCTTCTATTGTTTTTTTAAATTTTGTTCTGATTTTTTTTTTTTTTGTTTCTTTTGTTTGTTTTTTTGTTTGTTTTTTTTGTTTTGTGTTTTTTTTTTGTGGGTGTGTGTAACACGGTAGTTTAACGGGACCTGAGTTCACACGAGTTTTGTGATCCGTTGAGAAGCAATTTTAAGTATTGTGCCATTGACTAACATTGACTAACTCATAGTAGGTCCACGGTGGATATTGAACGTCTATCACTATGCTGAGTTTTTTTCTATTGTTTTTTTTTTTTTTTTCGTTGACGATTTTCATAGCACAATAGTTTAACGGGACCTAAGTTCTCACGAGTTTTCTGATCGATCGAGAATCAATTGTAAGTATTGTGCCATTGACAAACTTTGACTAACTCATACTAGGTCCATGACATTGAACGTATATCACTATATGCTGAGTTTTTTTTTCCTATTGTCTTTTTTTTTTCGTTGTGGGTGTGCATAGCACAGTAGTTTAAAGGGACCTGAGTTCACGCGAGTTTTATGATCCGTCGAGAAAAAATTTCAAGTATTGTGTCATTGACTAAGTTTTGGTTTTAATAGGCTTCTTCTTAAAAAAACGCATCAGGGTATTATAATGATGAATAAAAACTTGAGGACGATAAAACACAATCTTTGAAAAGGATTTAAATGTCAATCTTTTTTAAGATACTCGAATTCCAATCACGTGGTCCAGCTGAATCAGCGTCAATCTGTAAGCGTGTTTCGTTTAAAAGCTTTACATATTTATTTATATCCTGCTGTACGTAGAAGTTGTAATTTACGCGATTAAATTAAGCTAATAACTGTGTAGCACAGTTTAACGAGAATATTAATAGTAATAGTAGTTCACCACTTTAATTTTTTTTATCCAAGTTCTGTAAACTCTACACTTTGAATGTAAATTCTGAAGAAATAGTTCTTAATTTCACCTACTGCAGTCATGTACAAAAGTTTAACTGACAGTACTCAAGATACCTGGAGGAAATTCAACGTCACTACATAACACCTGTCCGAGTCATTATGGTTTTGGCCCCAAGTGATGAATGAACTCCGCTAATATCTTAGTACAGGCCCATTTATTTTTTTTACGTAACCTTAGTTTCTAGTTTAAACAAAGCTCTACTTAGGCCCTGCGTGTGTGAGCGTTTCTATATCTGTCTCTTATACACATCTAGATGTGTATAAGAGGGTAGTTAACGACTTCTCCGCCTCGGCTGCATCTTATTCTGTTCTTAATTGTATCATTTCTCAATGCTTGTGCACTTGTCAGATTTTTGTTGATGGGTTTACCATATTGAGTACTTCCAGATTATCCATTATCTATGGTGGTTAGATAAAGTTATAATAAATATGATTTTAATAATATATTAGGCCTACGTCATGCATTATAATCCATGTGTCTATTTTTAACGAATTTACAAACGTAAGGCTTCTTACAGTAAATCTGAACATAATTTCATTAGCTTAAAGTTAGGCTATAAAAAGCGTTCTCGCATTATTTACCAGAATAAAACAAAACATCTGACCGGAGTTCAATATAAGAAAATTATTCCAGGCGGCTCTCAGTGACGTATGCATGTTTTATAAAAATAAATATGTTATTTTTAAAACATGATGAAATCATTATCATCTGATGAAGACGGTTAACTAATAGCATTCTTCATGATTTAGAATAGTGTAGATTGAAATAGTCAAAAGTGAGTAGACAATAATTGAAAAAAGCAGACGATGATAAAACATGACGAAATTATATATCGCCAGCTGAAGACGTTATCTAACAGCGTTCTTCATAATTTAGAGTAGTGTCATACTTCGATGAGTGAATTAGTCAGAAGTGAGCAGACGATAATAAATAATATTAGACAATAATATATCATACAGTAGACGGGTGAAGACTGTAATTAAATATATCAGGCAATAGTAGAACATAAAATAATTATAGAATAACAGACGAACATTATGGTGGATAAGTGATTGGAGAATAATAATATCTCAGAAGAAAGAAGACAACAAAAAGTCAACCAAAGAAAACAAAAACAATTAAAATTGCCAGGAAACTCCGAAATTAGTATTCGCGTTCAACGTATTTTAGTAAATGTAGATTACATATGCATTGAGTCGGGGATTGCTGGTGATAGGCCTATATGCCGCGCATGTCATTCATTCTTTGGAGTTTATCTTCCCATTTTCAGATTGATTGTAGTACAGATAGACTGACACAATCACACAATTTGCTTAATTTACCAATTGTGGGCAGGCCTTGGATTTATAGCCTTTAAAAGAACGACCTTGTGTTTCGACTGAATAGGGACAACCTACATGAAGGATCTTTGGAAGAATAATTTTAAATAATGGATTTTCAACAAATATTTCGCAATTTGTTGATACAACACCATTATTAACACTTAAACGTAGGTACGGTCCTTTTGGCACCTGGCCCTTTGTCACCCGGCTTTTGACCATTCATAATTCATAATAAGTATTAATATTTCAGAAATATTGACTTCACAATTTTTTAAGTGGATTTAATTCATATACCTTAACTTGTACTTGTTGAAACGCTGCGCGTCCTAAACTGTGGTGGAGTGGATTCTATTTCTATCCCATCTGTTATACACTTTTGGAGTCCTTAGGAGGTCGGCGTTATCCGTCAGAACCAGAACCAGGCCTTTTCAAACAACTATTTGCAACGAGTAATTTATTTATCAATAGTATTCCGTTAAAGTAATAAATTTATTATCTCACTCGAAAGATGATTTTTTTTTATACTTGCATTTATCCCTTTAAAATACAACTGTACAGTATATGGTATTTGGTTGAGCTATACTTTTTAAATAAAAGTTGGTTATATATTTAGCTGAAACGAGAGCAGTGAATTGAATTGAACCGAGGACCAAGAGACCTTCGTGATGCTGATCTCTTTAAGCCCAAAGAAGTCTTCCGAGTGGGTCCTTCTTGTGGTGAATGGGGCAGTTTACTGGAAGAAGATTCTTTGCTCTACCAAAAGACTTCACTGATGGACCATATTGCACAATGCTTAAACGTTTTTCCGAATTAGGTGTGTTGTCATATCTTACATTCAAGTCCCAATATAGCAGAAACACAAAAGAGGTTAGCAATAAAATTAAACCAGGAATGTCTAATAGGATCGTCAAGGTTTAGCGCGCAGCTGAAAGGGCTACTTACTTAAAATATAGTTCAATACATAAACAGTGATTACAATCGTTTAGCTAAATGAGCTTTGCTGATTAAAATATAATATTGTTGATATTTATATCTATATATATTAATAATAATAAATAAAACCGAAATTCAGAATACAGTATCCTAAGCCGCAGTACATAGTCTCGGTGGTCGATGATAAATTATATCTTTCTTTCTATGCCCAGAGTACGTTCCGCTACCCCCTGAACTCGATTTTTGGATCCTATGGTACAACCGTACACACCTTAATGCACGTTGTGAACTTATACTGATACTTAATTCTTTCAACAAAAGAATTCTTTAAATTATTTTATTTAAAAAAAACTAAAACCAATTTCACTGACATTTATTTTGGAAAAAGTCTGTGAAGGTGGTTTTGTTTCAAAGTGGATGTTTAATGACATTCCAAACCGGGCAGTGTTAAAGTTCTACAGTGGTTGATTCAAGGGGGCAGCCCGCAACTATATTTTTTCAAAGTATAGAAGTAGAGAGTAAAAGAAACTTAAATTCAAATCTGAGAATGCCTTTTCCGGCAATCTAGAGATGGCATAATCATAAATTTTGTTCTGTGAAAATCCCTCCCTGGCTCCCTCTATTCGAATTTCTGGATCCGCCACTGGGCTATACACGTGACGTCAAATTGTTAATGGAGATGTTTGATGAGTTGTTCAAGGATACTAACATAGGTTCCATGATGCGTTAACCGGTAATTCAAAATGGTTGATAATCAATTTTTTTTTTCAGTTACCTTTCTGTTGATTGGTCCATATCAGAATATTTTTTGTATTACTTGTTATTAATCGTCAGCGTAGATTATATTTTCCGGACTAGAATTTTGGCCGTCAAATCGGTAAAGGGCGCCATCTCTGTCGCAAAATTGTACCCAAAGTTTGCCAATCATACATTCTCTTTCTCTGGTAGGTTAATTAAAATATTTTACCATAGGAATGTTTTACTGTGATCTGTAGTTTACATTTTCCTCGTGATGTTAGCTGGGGCAGGAAAAGCAAGTGATCATTTATGTATTGTCCAATTGGTTGCATATGCATGGTTGACTTTACCGGGCGATGAGAGAATTAACCGTGATGTCGCATCCATTACAATCATTTCTATAAACAACTCTCTGGATAGTATCTCGTCCTCACGTTCTCATGCTTAGAAATATTATTCCAGCTTAATGAAAATTCCCTGTTGGCGTATTAGGCCCAGCAAAACTATTAGATTTTCAGCATGTGTCGTCCACATTAATCTTGCCATGTTATATCGAAACGAAACACGCAGCAATTCATACATCGTTGATGATTTCGCGTTACGATTTTAGCAGATTTCCTTAATAAAGCTTAGTGTGGCCGGCGATGACAAGAAACCTTATGTTTAACCCACTTTTAATTAAATAAAAGACATAGCAGTTTTGATCTATTGTAAACTACCGTTTATATCCATATTGGCAACATGAAACAAAGATAGGCCTAGTAATATATCATACTTATGAATTTTTAAAAATCCCTTATTTATCGTTAATTAAGTTTGTTTTGTTTCCGGGTTATGCAATATTTCTAAGAAAAACGTATATTTCTAAGAAAATAGAATTCACGAACTCATCTGTACAAACTTGCACGTGCGTGCATTTTAAGGTATCTTTTTTCATACCAGCAAGTATCAGATAAGATTGAAAATACTTAAGTCGCAGTTACGATTAACTCTTGCTTGAACAAAAAATAAAACAAAATCGAATATCAATTATACGTTGATACAAAAAGAATGGATTTCATAATGTACGAACACACGGTAAATGAATTAGAGTGACAAAACGTATACGAAAATTTACACTAGATATTTATTAAACAAAACCATATATTTTAATATTATCAAACAAAAATTACAATGACAGTTATTTTTTTTATGAATATTTAATTTATCTTTAAAAGAACAATTTATCCTGTTCTAAAATTATTACTTTCGTCTGCGTTGACATTAAGTGAAAATAATCATCAACCATGACATTATACAATGAATTTATCTGTCGACTCTATCGTTATCGTTATTGATTCGCGCTGCAATTAATTTTATATAATTTATATATGATGTATTCTGCCGTTATCGACGTATGAGTGCTCAGCAGGCACAAATCAAAAATGCTTTAATTTATAGTTACGTATAATCATAGAGAAAATAGAACTGTTCTATTTTCTGTGGTATAATGGTTTGGTTTCCCCACCATCTCGCGGTCGGGGTTTCAATTCTTCAATGCATTTCGCTTGTATCCTTGGGCAAGACACTTTATATAGGCCTACATTGCTTCAGTCACCCATGGTCTACCCAGCTCTATCAGCTGGTACCAGCAAATTGCTGGGAGTAACCTGTGGTGGACCATCGTCCCTCCCAAAGGGAACATCAAACTCGTCTGTTTCATGCTACTTTGATAAGCTCCAGTCATGGTAAGCTCTGTGGCTCAGCAAGAATTCTATATGTTGTGGTTATTGCAAACTTTAAAGCATTTCCTTGTGTGTGCTGGTATTGCCAATTTGGAAATTAAGCTGGGGTACACTCCATCAGTTAACTCTTGCCAGTAATACCATAGTGATACTTTCCTTTTTACTCTAGTTGATCTGCCGGGCCTAGACCGAATTCTTTCAAAACAATGTACATGGTATTGACAATGTACAGTACTGACGATCTCTGCTTTCCAGCTATTTAGGACCAAATCGTCTGCACACCCGACTTCGTAATTAGTGTGTACATCCTAAATAGGAGAGAGAGAGAGAGAGAGATGGAGTTCTTTGAGCCTTGTTTGTAGGCCCAGGAATTAATATTTAGACCTTCGATTGTCCCATCTATCGCAGCGGTGTGTGTAAACAATGTAATAAATATTAGGCGAAGAGTTTTTCATTTTCTCTTTGACGAACTCATGCGCTGGTGGAGAATTGTTGAGATGGGTCTTCATTAGCGAGACATTACTTGTATATGACAATAAATGAAATCTTGAATCCTGAATCTTGAATTGTAGAGTGGTTCAAGATTAATGATGGTTTTGGGTAGACCCGTGTGTATTTTGCCCTTAATAATACTCATGAATAAATATTTTCTGTATACACGGTCTTATGCGGCTTTCAGGCGAATAAAGCAGATATAAACTATAAAGTTCGCTTTTTGACTTTTGGTCAAACCATTTGAGTTGCATCAGTAAATGCCCATCACTGCATTCTTTATCTACCCTGAAAACCAATTGCGTTTTAAAGAGCTGGTTCTTGTAGAAGTCATTTAATTTGGTAAGTATTATGTTCATTGTTTCGTTGCTAGTACAGATCCAATAGACACTTCACGGTATTTTGTAGAATCGAGATCAAAGCATCATTTTCTTTGCAGACTTTGTAGGTATTTGACAGTCCTCATTGTGAATGTGTTGACGTATTTGCCCATTTTCTCTATACTATACTCAATTATTTTATGTTACTAGCTGTACATTAAGAGCTGGCTTAGTTATATCCAGGACTTGTTGAATCTGTTTACGAGTAGTTGAATATGTCCACGACTTTGAATATGTCTACGTCTTGTTGATATCGACAACTCTAGTTGGATATTTCCATGACTAGTTGATTATATCTTCGACTAGTTGAAAATACAAACAACTATATTACGAATGATCACAATAAGTGATAATTTCAAATCATTTAAAGGCCTTCCTAGATGGGAACAGTCGTATACGCGTAATCTTACACTTTTAATATCCTTAATGATCATGAACGTCATTTTGTGTTTATTATCCGCACATTTTTAAAACGCTATACAAAGTGAAATTGTACCAACTAGATTGATACGTTACAACATCTAACTGAAAGTATCTAATTTTTATTTAAACGATATGAAGTATAATTAAATGCAATATCTATTTTCACTCTCAGTGTAAAGTGTCTCTCGTATGTTCTCAGTAGACATATGCGTGTAAATGCAAGTGAGGCTACCGTCGACCGTACCACACAGCCAGGTTTAGTAATTGTACGATTATATGATGTTTACATGAATTTCAACAGGTAATATGCGGGTGATGGCGAGCTCGCCAAGTAGTAATGACAAATAGTGAAAATTCCACTTTAACTAGATTGTAGTAATGAAGTTCGTTACAACGCACTTACACACTACACGCATTGACCAATCAGACTTGAGAAAAATATTGGCGTATGGATTTATGGTCGGCAGTTCGCAATCATTTTACCATAGAAGTAGGCCCATGTCAACAAAATAATGTAATGTATCGATTTCAATCTACAAATGAATTCGTTCTCAGAAATATTTCTACATTTGTATATGATTGCTTCGCATACTTTACTGGAAAAAACGAATAGGGTTATTGCAATGTAATACTAGAGTGAAGTATTTACGTACTGAGTTTGACAGCACTGAGGAACGCTTTATCTAGACAGTTTGATTGTCTTCACGCAACGAGTTAATGACATCTTTAACATCGAGGTTAACGGTGCGAGAATAATCAGCTTTCTGCTAATATAAGAAATGCACTTGGCTATCACTGTTCAATTGAGTATTTAGTCGTTTGCGCGTGTAGACTGTGCTAGGCCATTGACGCTCGGACAAGCTAAGTCGCATTGCCGCTTGTGTAAACTCGGGTAGGCGACAAATCAGTCGAAGCTAGCTACGAGTCCGTAGCATTTACTCAGAAAATAGGCCTACTCACTGATACCATTGTTATTTTTCTTCTAAAAATAGCAAGCAATACGGATCAATTTTAAAGACGTCTTTCATATTACCAACTGAATGTTTTCTACCTGCGGTGAGTTGAATACTCAGTCAATATGTTTAAAAGTTCACATAAAAACGGAAGAACATCGGAAATGTAAGTATTGTAGTTTTCGCATTTGTCAGTAAGTGTCGATTCATATACAATATATCTTCATAAAATTGCATTATAAACATGAACGAAATTTTAAAAAGCAAACTTTGCACTAGAAAATCTAGCAAATAAAGAAAACAAAAATCACAAACACAAGAGTCTGCTTTCCCGGCGACCAACGTAGGCAACACCAGGTTTAGGTTTTAATTAGTAATCACAATTTATATATGCGGTTAAATAATTTAATTAAGAAGATTAGAATTGTACATTTTTATTTGTTCATCTTTAAACTACGGACAGGTTTTTAATGAATGTTCATCCTTCCAGAGCAGTACGTACCGTAATTTGATTATGTTACCTCATGGAACAGTGAAATTACACTGTTAATTCCCTGGTTGCCTACAATCACTTGATAGAAGAAATACGGGTAACATTTTAGAGCCGCTTCACAGTTATTACAGTATATATTTAAAAAAACATATTATTGTTGTTATTGTTGTTGCTGCTTTTGTCGTTGTTGCTGTTGTTATTATCGTCTTCATTACCATGATAAAAATATCGTCGTCACCGTAACTATTATTATCATCACCGGCTATACGTGATCTACGCTTGATCGCGTTGGTTGACTTACTCTTGCAATATGTTAAGCTGTGTCAGTTTTGTCTCCAAATGTTTACAAACAGCAGCTCAATGTAGTGCATGTTCATACTGCCATGCTATGATTCGCAACGAAGGGTTAAATTCATTCAACTGAATAGGTGTCAAATACATTTTGACTAAAATGTGAAATTATAATCTTTGGTATTATGACTCAACATTTCAAAGATAATTCTGACATTTAAAGATTTTCTCTTGGCGACCTGTTGCCATGGTTGAGAGAAAAATACAATGCGGTCAGGCAATTGCAACACGCGGATTTTCAACTCTTCTTAAAATATTTTCAACATTCATAGAAATGATAGGCCTAAATATTAATGTTAGTCAGTGAAAATTCATGACGTCAGAGTTTGGTTAGGCTTGCAGATTGTTCATACATTATTTAAGAGTCAATGTACATTGCATGGACATGTTTAGGCATCTTAATACTGTATATGGAAGGCGCACCACTGCACACCCTTTACCAAACAAAATATTATTGATACAGGGCAAACAAAAAAAAACCAAAAAAAAAAAAAACAAAAAAAAAAAAACGTTAGTACTTTACTTAACGCGTCACAAACTTAGGAAATTCGTGGACTTGGGGTTAGACCAAAACAGGTCGTACAGTAATTAACAAATGAGCTGTGGGTTGGAAAGTCGTTAGTTCGTGTCAGCTTAAAATGTATGACTTAACACGACCGAATTCAGATTTCTTATAGATAGGCCTAGATGATAGCGTTACGATATGGAAAGCAAATACCGTCAAATTATAACGCACGGTGAAAATAAACGCATGGACCATGGAAATTTGCTTTAGAAAGTCATTTGATTGTGCGGTTCCCAAATGATCAATTTTCGGATACTCCATCGATAACGACCATACGTAACGCGTTCAGAGATACGAAACGCTTGACAGTGTCGTATAACACGTACGAAGCGCGTGGACCATGTCAATTTATTGGAAAGTCATTGATCGTGTCGTTTTGAAAAGCTAGCGAGGGGACTGCATATAATTAAATGCATCGAGATACTCAAGCGTAAAGATTTGTTCCCCAGTAGTATATTTATTGGCCTAAAACATAATTGCGTTTATTTTTTGTTTGTTTTATTGTGCTACAGCATTTTAAGTGTGCTGTTAATGAATTTTTAAAAACATATCTCAACAGATGACATACGATACAGAATTATCATATCTAACTTATATCATCAATATTCATATATTATATCATTGCTGGCATAATGTAAATCACCATTAATTATATGTGACGACCATAAATAGACCCCTAATGCATATCATGATTCGTGTCGTAAACATCAAATGTTCTTAAAATGATGTAAGCTTATAGTTATTATTCTTTTAATATTGGGAATTTACCATTGAATGGAAAACGTATAAATGAAAAATGAAAATTTTATAATTTATTTAAAGCTTTGTTTCCATACAATCGTTACCCGCTGTCACCGACAGCTTTCGGTAAAAACGATTTGTCGGTCGAATCGGGGAGACTGCTACGCAATACATCAATTGCACTAAAACGCTGTAGCGACAGTGTAGCGATTTTAAGGAAACCAGGTTTAATATAAACAAATCAGTACGTTTTCGTACCATTTTCTTATTCGCCTCACAACTACCCTCGTCAATCGTATACTGTTCATTATTTCTCTAGTCTTGATATTTGATTGAGAACCACATAATTGCTCTTCAACACTGCTGAACCTAATAATCTGTGCACAATATATCTGACATGTTGGTAATCGATTCTCCAACGCCTCAAATTATGCCATTGTTAAATTGCTATGACCTCCTCCTAACACGAGTTACCGCAAGCCTTTAATTTGCCATATTGTTAGTACTGCGCATGTCACGCACATCGTAACGGTACCGCAGGTGGGGAAGTGCGTAGGAGGATTAATCCTCCGTTGGATAGGTAAATCCTTCCCCCGTCGACCACGACTCGTAAGATCATACAGGGAGAAAAACATCTTGGGGCATAATACGTTCTAAAACCTCTCAGAGCATCTCAAAAAAATTGTCCGCTTTATCTACGCCAGGTAAGTAAGCCTATTTGACCACACGAGAGCTTCTCCTCTGCACTTTGTTGGTCTCCACTTTTTTACCAATCTTAAAATTGGTTGCTTGTATTTATGTCCTTTTCCATTTCATCTGTTTCATCACATTATACTATGACTATGCATTTTCTTTTCTAGTTTGTCTTGTCGTTTATGCATTTTATATTGTAAGTCTGAACTTAAACAATGAAAGTTAATAGCAACGAAGTCTGTCTTTGCATTTGTCGACTTAGTGTTCGTGTATCCAGTTTGTGCACTAATTACAAGCCAACATATGTACATATGCGCAGTTTGGAAGTTTTGCGCAGTTTTAAAACTGCGCAGACAATGTAGTTTGTGCAACATCGAAATTGCACTAGAAAATTCCTGCAATTTTAAATGTGCGCAGCTTGGAGGCTTTGCGCTGTTTTACAACTGCCCAGATAATCTTTGCACAACGTCAAAATTACACTAGAAAATTCAAGCAATTTGTTTTAAATGTGCAGAGTTTTTAGGCTTCGCGCGGTTTTAAAACTGCGCAGATAATCTTTCCGCAATATTTAAAACTGTTCAAGGTTGTAATTCAATTTTGAAACTGCGCAAGATTTTAGGTCAGGATTTTAATTTCCACTCAATTCCCTCAATTAGTGCGTTTACTCTTGCAAAAATTATTGAAATGAATGGCTACTGTAATAAGGTGGTAAGATCATTTTCTCTGCTAGTCTTGAGGTGATTCTCTCACGAGCTGGCGTTCAGTATGTACCGGGTTAACTCTATGCTTGTTGAATGGCAAATCTAAAGCCGCCTGTTGTTTGACCACTTTTATCTATTTGCTGTTTACTGGCCGTTATTAAGAATTATCTCGCAACTATGAAGTATGCGTTAGTAAGCCACTTTAGTGTATTAATCATGATTCATGTCGTTTATTAAGGACGTAGGGATACCGAACATTGTTCTGTATCTAATCGCTAATTAAAATTCAGTTGTCCACGGCTTTCCAATGTTAAACCAATGTAATATTCAGTGAGACGCATAAAGTTCGTTGATTTAATTAGTGTGCATAATTAAACCCTTCAAACCAAGGACTAAGATAGTACAGGTGTACTATGCAAACAGTAAGGAGCTTTTGATAGCTCGACGACGCTTAACGATCTAAAACGTAATCACGTCACGTAGAGTCATCTGGGAATGCGAGAACTTTGAGTTGTCGTTTGTGTCGTCTGAATTATTGGACGCCGTTCTTTGGCCCGAACCTACGTTGTGCAGAGACGCAGCACGGTCACGGATGATTAAATCCGTCCTACATTCATGTCGTCGCGCAAATAGAAAGCTCAATACGATGTGTGAACGTCAAACTGGAATTAATGCGAATGTTATAATTGTTAAAGAGGATGTTACAACGATATTTATAATTTAATTCTTTGTTGCCTCACATGTAAACATTAATTTAATACATTAGGTATTTTATTATAGAAATGAATGAATATAAATAAATGAATTGTTATGATTGGCCTATATAATTATTCAGCATCTAAATGTATTTGGTTCTTAAATATAAGAACATTTTGAACTTATTTAAGAAGTCAGGATAAATGATTACAAGAATTATTCAGATTATTTAAGAAAGCAGCAAAGGCAGATTAGTTACTTTATAGAAGAGTTTATTTTACGTATTTCAAATTTACAATAACCCTTTATTATTGAGAGTCTTATTGTTTACATTGTAAAAGCAGCGTGACACGTTTAAAAGCTAAACGTGTTTAGATATACTTGAATGTGCCTAGGATCTTGACGTGTTTAGCATAAAATGTGCTTATTTATTCGACATCATGATGCCAAATACCTAAGCACATCTAATACTAAACACGTCAGAAACCTAAACGCATTAGGACGGGCCTAAACACGTTTAGTTTTTAAACGTGTTACCAAAGACGGGACAACATTGCGTGGAACTTTGCGTTTAAATCCTCTACGCTGTTTTTACAGTGTACGGTAGTTTGTTAGCTCAAAATTGCTAATTTCCAATCAGTGATCTTGTCATTTAATTATTTACAAGGTGAAGACATTACAACCGACTACCTTCAACGTTTTAATAATATCAAACCGTTTCACTTTTAATCTTTTACCTAGATCTGAGTTTGAACTCAACGGCAACGAAGTGAAGTTTTTGCCACTGAAGTCAAAAACGCCATTGGGGAATCAAGATTCGATGGACGAGGACGGGCAGGTCTATGAGCCGAAGATATGGCATAGCGGACAGTGCTGTCCAAGACGAACTGCTCTTGAGAAAAAACTCTTTTTCTTTCTCTTCGTTACCTTGATAGCATGTACTGTTTTGGTTCTGTTTCTGGCGATCGAAAAAGGTTCAAGTAAGTTGCATCGGTTTTTTGTTGTTTTTGTTTTCTATTTTTATATTGATTGTTGAACCCGTGTATGTATATCTAGTTGATGTAATCTTTTGTTTATGTCTGCTACACTGATTATTTGATAATGGCACGTGATGGTGTTTAAAAAAATCATAACTATACTTTCGTTGGCTTTAAGTTAATTTCATTAGCACTAAGAAGTGTGTCAAGCCTAAAACATACTTACAAATAAAAACTAAAATGAGTAAAAAGGACTTAAAAGACGTAAACTCGTCTTTCTATTTCTGTAAATAGACCGTCTGTTTTTCTCACGTACCAGCTTCCTAAAATTTATGTATGTAAATAAAAAATGAAGTATAGGTTGCGTCTTTTAATTTAGTAAATCACTTATTACTGACTGTTAATGAAATTACACATCATTTTAAGAGAGTGAAGTACTTGCTTCTCTGGAATTACGAAATTTATATTGGACAGAATTAACCCAGGTCCCTGAAATTTGAGTGCAATTATTTTACCAACATTACCTCGTTTCTGTTCGCCCACGAACGTTCCACTCTATGCCCCATTAAAGAAATGATGTAACGTGCGTACTCAATTTCGATCTAAATATAATTATGTAAACACAATAATGATGAGTTTTCAGAATTATATTTAGACTGATATTTAGTACGTATGAGAACATTACTGATGGATATCCAGGTATTTGTGATATCTTCAAATATCCAGATAACGTGTAATGTTACCTCGTAAATATACCGAAACGTAGGGTTGGAAAAACAAACATATCGGTTAACAATCGCTGTCAGATTTACATCGGTGTTGGGGTATGAATAACCATACCTCCATGGAATAACATATCACAGATCTAATACTACAAAAAAGCACAGGTATAATATCATCGGAGTTTGCAGGGGGAAAAATCGCAGGACAATATGTAGGCCTACCTGAGAAGACAAAGTGTCACCTTACAGTCTAATAAATTTTTTTAAACGTTCCTGATAGGTAACATTTTATCATGTGTGTGTTCATGAGTATTTTGGTGGGGAAACGGGATAGGAAATACAGAGAGAAACAACCATTTTTGGTCTTGAAACATGGAAATCATAAAAAAAAAGCTTTTAGGTGGAAATGGATAAAAATAATTGCTATAAAACTCAGAACTTAATAGATCCCAGAGATCCCATGAGATCAAAAAGATCAACTGAAATTATAGTTTTTCCATTTTTTTTTGCCCTTTTTGTTAATCTCTAAATGTTTCTAATGTAAAATAATCTAAAAATTGATTTTATACAACTAAACTTTCTATAATAATAGGCCTATCTACATTTGGCGCTATGAATCCGCTGGAAATAGCGCAGTATAAGTATATATA